GGCGCCGATGTCGCCAGGTTCGCCAAGAAGGCGGAAACTGTCGAGACCGAGATGGTCATTGACATCCACAAGCCATAAACAAGTCTTCCTTTGCTCCCTCTTCTTCATACCCCCTTTCGCGCTTAGACTATTTGTTTGATGATGATGTCGCCGCCGCCTTCTTTTGATGGCTGGCTCTTGGGCAACAGTGGTTCGGTCGCGTTTCTCCCTCTTGCATACATCGATTGAGGTTGCTTGACGACTTGGAATGGAACTGGAACGTAATAGCACGAGCAATGAATTTATGTCCACTGTCTTGACTTCTCATCTTGATCTTGATTATCTAGTGTCGCATGCCGCCGATCTCCCTTGCGCTCGTTGACACGCAGCTACTACTATACCGACAGCCGAACATCTACGATTAGTCCCTGCTGATATAAGCCCGCTGCGATTGGTGGAATGTAAGACCATTCCTCCCGCTACACTACCACCACGTAGAACATCTTTATACGAGTGCTTCAGCAGATCAGGATTCCTTTTCCGCATCACACTGCCATTCGTCATACAACAAGAGCTTGTTGTCATACTGTGCCTACCTTTTCCACCTGCACACCCCGGGATAAACCCTTAGCCGAGCTAGCAGAAGGCGCATTCGTGGCGGTCGGCAAGCGAGCTCTTCGGCATATTCTTTCCCCCAGATTTCAAACATTCATAAAGATGCGCTACCCCACTGGAAGTATGGCGGAGACAGCCGACTGTCATATGAAATCTTTTGTAGTGTGTGCTGAAGATGTCGAAGCGCGAAGAGAAAGCTCCTGAGCCTGTGGAAGGCGTCACGGATCTGGAACGGGTGGTCACCGCGACACACCAGATGGCGGATGATGCAGAGAAAGAGCATGGGCTTGTGGCTGTGGATACATCGGCTTCTGAACGCTTGCCGTTTTCGAAAGCACGATGTGTGGCGCTTGTTACGACGATTGCTGCGGCGCCGTTTTTGAGCGTGAGTATGCCAACCAATCTTGTTGGGGAAGAGAGGAAGAAGACTGACTAATTTGTGATAGACCATGGCGGTTCAAGCCTCAGTCATTATTTTACCTACCATTGGGGAAGAATTGGATATTCCGGTTAGTCGTCAGCAGTGGATTATCTCTGCGTACAACTTGACGTTTGGTTGCTTCCTGGTATGTCTTCTGAATCTCTCTCATATATCTACCCTCTCCTAACCCGCTCACTCAGCTACTATGGGGCCGTCTAGCAGACGTCTACGGCCGACGAATGATCTTCCTCTGGGGCTCCGCAGCCTTCACACTCACATCAATAATAACGCCCTTCATCCCCAACGAAATCGGCTTCGACATCTTCCGCGGTCTCCAGGGTCTCGCTGCCGCCGCCATGGCACCAACCGCTCTCGGCATCCTCGCTTCTACCTTCCCACCCGGAAAGACCAAAGACATCGCTTTTGGCTGTTTTGGCGCCGGAGCTCCACTCGGCGGCGTGTTGGGTAACATCTTTGGTGGTGTCGTGGGCGAGTATCTCGATTGGCAGTGGGTGTTCTGGTTGTTTGGGATTATTGCGGGGATCTCTACGGTTGCGAGTTACTTCGTTATCCCGATTCCGCCGTTGGGGCCTGAACCCGTCTTGCGCAACACGGTGGATTGGATCGGCGGATCGCTCATCACCATCGGTCTCGTCATTCTCGTATTTGCGCTTTCCGAAGGCAATGTCGTGGGCTGGAGTACGCCGTGGGTACCAGTCCTCATCGTGCTCTCACTAATCATCATCGCCGCATTCGGCTTTTGGCAGCACTACCTCGAGCACAAGACAGAAAGGCGGCCCTTGATGAAAATGAGCATCTTCAAGAACGGCAAGTTCACTGCTGCCAATGTGCTCATGGCGCTGTTCTTCTCGTCCTTCAACAACTACCTCATCTTCGCCACCTACTGGTTCCAGGACTACCAAGGCCTTTCCGTTATCCAAACCACGCTGCGCTTTCTACCGAACGGCATCACGGGGATTCTGGTGGCTACGATTACGGGGCAGATTCTGTCTCGTGTGCCGGGCGATTATATACTCACTTTTAGTACTATTTGTGTGAGTATATCCTCCTTACTTTTCGCAATTCCCATTCCTGTCCACACAACCTACTGGGCATATGGCTTCCCGGCTATGGTACTGTGTGTCTCGGGTGCGGATACCATTTTCCCTGTTCTCACGTTGTTTGTGGCGAAGACGCTGCCGGCGGAGGATGCGTCGCTGGGAGGAGCGCTTATTACGGCTGTGGGGCAGATTGGGAGGGCGGTTGGGTTGGCGATTGCGACGGCGGTTCAGACGGCTGTTGTGGCTAGGGAGAAGGGGTTAAGTGTGGATCAGATTGGTGGTGAAGGACATAAGACGGTGCCTTGGGATAATGCGCTCAAGGTGGGTATTAGGACGACGGCTTGGTTTAACTTTGGTATGAGTGTTGCGTCTACGGCTGTTGTTGTTTTCTTCATTAGGGGTATTGGGATTATTGGGGGAAAAGGGAAACGGTAGCGCATTAGTGGACTTATCGAGCAAACCACCTGCTCAGGTAATACCAATCGTCCCCCCGCTCTCCTGCGAACATCGGTCCAAAGCACATCACGTCAAAAGATAATAGCGCTGACCCACAAAACGGTGAAACCGAAGTCCTCCACCAAAGACCCAGCAAGTAAAACCCCAGCCATCTACCTGCCCTATCGTCACGTATCTTGTCTAGCAAATAACAACGTGGTCCACCCGGGTCTATCCCCCAAGCGGCTAGTGCAATCACGACATACCACCTCTCGATTTCGTGTACAACCCCAAACTCATAAGCCCTTGCAACATGCCACCGTTCCATGCAGCAGCCCCGAGGACGATCGCCCTGTCAGAACGCAGCAAATCTCGCATTGGAAGCGGGTTGCCATGCGCTCCAATGAGCGTTTGCGGTCGTGCTTGGGGGTGCTGCGATGGGTTCTGGGTTATGACGCTGCCGCGGCTTGAGCTGATTGACCCACGTTCTTGCATCATTGCGAGCTACGAGGAACGCGAGGGTGGTGCGGTTGATAAGTAGACCTTTGTGCCCGGGCGTTGTTGGATGGATAATTCACGTCTCGACACCTCCGCGTGAGAACCAGCGCGAACGCGACGATGGCATCGGAGAAGAATGATGCACCCGCTGCATCCACCTCTTCCGCGAGCGATGTAGAAATCGTCCCTGGCAGCATCAACGAAAAGAAGTTACTCAGAACGTTGGATCTAAGACTCCTGCCCGCGGTGTCAATCCTGTATCTGCTCAGCTTTCTCGATCGCAGCAATGGTACAAACTCCATCCTTCCCACCTCTGATGAAAATATACTGACAAATAGCCCAGTCGCCAACGCACGTATCGAAGGCCTCACAACCGACCTCGGCATGACAGGCAACCAATACCTCACCGGCCTAACACTCTACTTCATCGGCTACGTCCTCTTCGAAATACCCTGCAACATCGTGCTCAAACGCACGACGCCGAAGTTCTGGTTGCCTACGCTGACAGTGGTGTGGGGTGTTGTGGCTACGCTGATGGGCGTTACGCAGAATTTGTCGGGGTTTTTTGCGGTGCGGTTTTTGTGAGTAGAGTAATCTGGAGAAGACAATGAAAGTGCGACACCGGCTAATTATCTGTAGTCTGGGAATGGCCGAGTCGGGGCTGTTTCCTGGTGTGGTGTATTATTTGAGTATGTGGTATAAGCGCAATGAGCGACAGTATCGCATTTCGTTGTTTTTTAGCTGCGCGAGTCTTGCGGGGGCTTTTGGTGGTGTATGTTAACTTTCTTGTGCAGAAGAGAGATAAGCTGACGAGTACAGATCTTAGCGTATGGTATTGCGCATATGCGTAACGTGGGGGGCTACGCCGGATGGCGATGGATCTTCATCTTGGTACGCTCACCAACCTGCTCATGAATTCGTCTCTAACAGCAACATAGGAAGGTCTGCTCACCATCATCATCGGAATCATCGCGTACTGGTTCATCTCAAACTACCCCGCCACCGTCAGCTGGCTCAGCAAAGAAAAAAGAGCGTTCGTGCAAGCGCGTCTCAAAGCCGATAGCGACGCAACGAACGATGAAGCATTCTCATGGGCGGAAGTATTGCTTGCTGCAAAAGACATCAAAATCTGGCTCTACGCCTTTGCCTTCCACACCATGAGTCTACCACTATACACTCTATCCCTCTTCCTAGTAAGCCAACAAACTCCCAAAACGCGCACACCACTCTAACACCCCCCAAGCCAACAATCATCCGCGACATGGGCTACACATCCGCCCAATCCCAACTCCTGACCATCCCCCCCTACGCCGTCGCAACCCTCTTCACAATCTTCTGGGCCATCCTCTCCGAGCGCTACGCCCGCCGCGCCCTCTTCATCCTCACCACCTCCACCGTCGCAATCATCGGGTACATCATCCTCCTCGCCAACACAGATCCCAAAGCACGACCAGGCGTGTCTTACGTGGGAACCTTTTTCGCAGCCATCGGCATCTACCCTTCCGTCGCCTTGGTCCTCTGCTGGCCCGCCATCAACGTTAGTGGGCAGACCAAGCGCGCAACGGCTAATGCCATGCAGATCAGTATTGGGAATTTGGGGGCGGTGCTGGGGACGCAGTTGTATCGCGCGAACTCTGGGCCGAGGTATGTGCTTGGGCATAGTTTTGCGCTGGGGTATTTGTGTTTGAATCTCGTGGTTGTGGGTGCGTTGTGGGTGTTGCTGCAGAGGGAGAATGCGGAGAAAGAGAGGGTGTTGGTGGAGAGGCCGCAGACGGGCGGGTTTCATGATAGTGTGGAGGATGTTAAGATGGGGGATCGGCATCCGAGGTGGAGGTTCCAGGTTTGATGGAAAGGCGGAGGGAGGATTGGGGGTTTGACTGGATGACAGCCTTGTGAATCGTGCAACAATATGGATTGACCGTACGCATATATCGGACGCAAGGTTGATATTATCATGCACTCGATCTTCCATTGAATAATATATAAGCTTTTCACCACAGCCCATCTCTCCTCAACAGAATCTCCCCACCCGTAACCCCACTCTGTCCAACCATACTCTCCTTCAAGATACCCGCCTCATACAACTCATTAATAAGCGAGAACAACATGCCATCACACCCCTTCGCCGCCATCAAATTCGCCGTAACAGGCAAATACTCCACATGCCCCGTAATCGTCGAATTATACGGCGCCTCACCCAACGGAACAACATAGTCAGGCACCTCAGCCATAACCGAGATGCGGCTGTTGCCAAAGCCAAAAGGCACGCCGGGCTCGTCCCAGTACGTGTTGCGGTACGTGGTGCCGCCGGTGGAACCGACGTACATGACCAAAGACTCAGAGCAGGTTTCTGGTGATGGAGCGAGGAAGGTCTCGTTGGCCCAGGTCTGGAAGATAGTTTTGTTGTTCACAGCTTCTTCAACGGTGATGGTCTGGTTGTCGCCCCAGCCCCAGCGTGCTAGCGGGACGGGATTAACGAACGGAAGGCGACCGTCGTGGACTTCGGCGTAGTCGGCGTAGAACGGTTCGCGGACGAGCTCGATTTGCTGTTTCGTGATTAGGATAGCGTAGGTGAGGTTCTGTAAGACCGTAAGAGGTGCGACATCCGCATTCGCAGCGTCGAAAGAGGCTGTAACGTTGAAAGCGGTGGCGTTTGCGCCCAGGAAATCGGTTACGTTTCCGAGGAAGTCGACGAGGAGTTGGTCGGCGACATCTTCGACTTCGGTGGGCCAGCCGAGGGTTTGGATGCTGCTTGGGTAGCTGCTTGTGATGGTGATGTTGGGGCCGTACATGGCTTGGGCTGCTTCCATCCAGATTTGAGGGTTGCGCGCCAGTAGACCGGGGGTGTCGAGCACGGGACTCAGCGGCATGGTGTGGTCTAGAGACACCAATCCATGAGATGGACGGTTGCCGTAGAGGCCTTGGACTTGCGATGGGCCGCGCACGCTGCCGCCGGTATCGGATCCGAGACTGACATCGAGCCAAGAGTAGGATGCTGTACCTGCGCCACCACCGGAGGAACTGGAGGAGGTGTCTTGGTAGCCGTCGCCACGGGGGTTGAATGCCTCGTGGTAGTCCACCCAGTCGGCCGTTGCGGTCTCGCCATTGGCGAATTGAGAGGTGATCATCTTGCCGACGATGATCGCTCCCGCGTCGATCAGGTTCTGGACGGGCGGCGCAGTCGCGTTGGCAGGAGGGTACAGCCAATACCAAGCTCGGTTTCCGTTGGATGTTCGTAGGCCCTTGATATCTGCGGCTTTTGTCAGTCGATGCTCAAAGACTACAGCCGACGGCTGGTGGTGTGTCGTACCGTAGATGTCTTTGATACCAATTCTTACACCAGCCAATGGCTTCTCGGCCGTTTTGGTGAAGTACAGCCGCGAAGGCACGGCGATGGCATGCTTCTGGCCCACAGTACCCGCGGGTAAAACCGAGTATGAACCGTCGCCGTTCGCGATTGCAGACTCGGTGAAAGCGCCTTGCATGTCAGAGAATAGTCTCCACGCCTCGTATACATGACCAGCTGCGTTAATGAAGTAGGGGCCCGGAGCTAGTTCGTTGGATGCGGTGCCGGATAGTATGGTCAACGAAGAGTTCATTGGTTTGGAATCGCTACCCTGGACGTAAATGGCTGGAAGATATGATCAGCGAGGGTTTCAAGAGCGTGAAGTTGGGTGCATACCGTCCATGAAACCTTCTTGCCATACATCATCATGCGCATAGGTTGCTGTGAGCGACGCGACATCCAAACTACCGTTCTGGGCTTTCACCACTGTGAACGGCACAAACGGAGCATCTTCGAACGCGGCCTGAATCTCTTCGCAGCTCGATATCTTCGCAATTGGCTTAGGCGGCAGGAAATAGTCGATGTCGGTCAAGGATACCGTGAATCCAGTTGAAGACACCGCAGCCTGCACACCGGCAACGACGAAAGACGCGACGCCGATCGACCGTGAGAAGCGCATCTTGTCCACGAAAAGTCCAAACCGGGGGTCTGGCGAAAGTCCGTGATGAAGCTCCATACACCTGCAGGACTACGAGCTTTATACGTCGGCGCCATTTCTTGCTTTACCGAATCGATTGATCTCCAAGACATAATTTCCATTAGCAAAGAGTCATGATCCCGATCCATTCCCTAACCCATCTTCAATCCAACGACAAGCCAAGTCGCTGTCTGCGATGCTACCAGGATCAACAATCATCAAAACCGCCATCTTCCTGATAAGCACTCGGCCCTTCAGCCTGACTGGCCAGCATCATCGGCACGCCTTGCGCGCGCTGCGCAAGTACGTAACGGGCGTCTTGAGCATCGTAAACAGGAAGGCGGGCGGGGCACTGATAGCTTTCCGAAGCTACCGCAAGCTGGCAGTGCCAACGGCTCTTATCGCGTGGTTTGGAGGTGAAGAGTGGAGATGCGGCTTTCCAGGCGGGGCAAACGTGGTTAGCGAACGCCCGAGGAATGCGCCGATGACGTGGGCCCACTTGGGAGGATAGGCGGTTGCGCGGATTTGTCTGGAGGTACACTCACGAGAATGCAATGCAATCCAGTATCTCGCTTTTTGTGTTCGTAGGCAATCGAGGTCCCATCCCGCGCGTGCCTTAGACTCCCGAGGTCGCGCATCAAACCCGCGCGCACGTGATGTGTATTCGCTGGCGCGCCATCGCGGATGTAGATTCCCGGCTGCTTGGCGACTTCAGCCCATGGCCGAAGATTGGTAAAATTCACAGTGATGCGAATATTTCATACTGCTCGACTGTCTCAAAGGATGGTCATGACATGTCGGTGCCCGGTGCCAGGCTTCGTATCCACCCACAGCCACGTACGGTCGGGGTTGTGGGCTGTCTTAGTTTTTATGTTTGACTCATGCGAAGGTGACTTATCCCACAGGACAAGGTGAAGACATACATGCATGTATAGCCTTTGTACAACACGACGTACAGCCAACGAGAATGAAAACCGAGTATAGATCAATGTGTATAGATCAATGCGCATGTTCACGCTCCTCGCAGCTACAAGTCCAATAATATTCCTCACCCGAAAAGCCATCTTCTAAAGCATCAACATTAATCCGGATCAGCTCGTGATGGCCAATAACCTGGGTGTGAGCCTCAAATCTAATGTGGAATCGGCGTTGTTTGTCGTCATGGACCAAAACATCACCCTTGTCATAAGCCTGATCCTTGCCATGAGGCTGATCGTCGTTATCCTTGAGAAGATCGTAGTATACAGCGAGCCTTTCATCTTCTGAAAAGACGTCTCCTTGTCTTACTGTACCCCTGTTTTCCTGTTTTATGAAGACAGTGAACTTGGGATTTGGACCACTCGACGATGTTTCGAAGTTGAATTCGAACATCCTGTGAAACGGATCATCTCGTCTTATGGTAAGAACCTTGGCTTCTGGGTCCCAAAGCGGATGGTAAGCCAGTGGTGGTTCTCCTTGAACAAACGTCCATGCACTAAAAGCCTGGAGTTGATAACCAAGACTCCGGATGGCCTCGCATTCGTTGACGATAATCCGCCTATCTCGCCCGCGCCAGTAGTGTAGTGATTCTTTGAACCCATTCACTCCAGCAATTGTCAATGTTTCACTGACTGAGCCGAAAGCGACCCTTGGACCAACAATGACAGTACTGTAACATTCCCTTTGACGAACCACCTTCACGCTGGAATCGACCGGGTCTCCGTACGGCCAGAGCAGAATACCTAAAAAGTTCCCGTTTGACGCTCTCGAGCAACCAAGTAGCCCAATCCATACATGGGCTGAAGCTCCAACCCTGCGACAGTAATACTCGCTGCATTCAAAGACCCGCACAATAGGTAATTGGATCTGTAGGCCCGTATTGGTCAATGTGAAAAGAGTCAATGATTCCGTAGCGCAAGACAAGCCGGCACAGTCTTTGAAGTCTTTTGGTGAGTGAGCCAAAAAGTCGACGCTTTTTGTATGGCAAAGATGTTCCCTGGCGCCATCTGATAGAAGTCCTAGGGCACTGGGATCGTCGTCCTCTGGCGATAGAGCCCAGGCGAGGATGGAATCATCGTCGATATTCCGGATAATCTCCTCTTGAAGACGACGAAACGCCCGGTCACCTTCTCCATACAAAAGCGGCATATTGATGTTGAAGATCCCGAGGAGGCAATAGGCCATGTCCTCCGCACGTGTCGTCTGCCTCGTGGAGGCCCATGACATCCTCGTCGCGACGCAATAGCAACCGAATTTGTCCTCCTTTTTCCGGCCCGAGGCCCTCCACCAGCCTTCAATCAAAGCGGCCCCGTCTATACCTGTGACTTTCGATATCTGCTCGGCGTGCTCTTCCCGATCGCCCAAGTCAACCCATAGTTGATCGTAGAAGATAACCGTTTTTGGCGCCAACAATTCCTGGAGGGTCCAACCCCGTGTGAACCATCTACTCTTAGGGAAATCCTGGTCCATGTTGGCTGCCAAGACATCAGAAAGATACGCATAACAGCGAACTGACATCTGATACCAGGCGAACATAGAGTTAATTGCCTCGGAGAGCTCCGCGCTAGAACTTTTGTCAATACAACAGGTGTCTATCCACGCGTAGTCGATTCCATCTATCATGGCCTGCTTGCAAGTGAAAATAATCTTTTGGTAGCCAGATCGGATCATAGGCTGACCCGAGGTGAAGTCGGCGAATGACACCTCTTCATCGCCCCAGGTATGCGAGAGAATGGCGTAGCGCGGGATACTATTGCCGAAGAACTCTTCCAGCTCTAGTGTTGTGCAGTTGATGAGGTGCATTTGGATGTTTGGTCTTGTCTCCGCTGTTAGGCTGACGTTGACGAAAGGGCGCTGTCACGTCTGCCGACGCTCGTGTAGATAGTATTGTGCCGTGTGCGGAAACACTCAGTAACAACGTGTTAGTAATACATGGGTGAACTTCGTCGCTGTGCAAACGGAGCTGCGAACAAGGACTTGACGTGGACGAGCATTACCTGAGAGCGGGGCTATGCTCCAACGCTGACCGGTAGAAGTGGACGCTCGAAGCACTGAGCTGTGAGGTCATGTGCGACGTTGCTATGCATGGCGTCTGCACTGCATACAAGAGAGATGGCGGGCTGCGTGTGAAGGGCCAATGGGCAGACATCCTCGCTGTTGCCTGGGTAAGTGGGCGTCGCGCGTCCACAGTTCGGCAGGAGATGTGTCGGCGGATGGGCAGCGCGCACGGCGCGTGAGTTAAAATAAGAGTAGAATAAGTACGCGACGTAAGGTTACAGCGTCGCGCCGAAATCGAAACGCGTACAGATGCGTTCCATCGCGATCGCCGCTATAGATAACGGGCGGGAGGGTTTTTGGAGGTGGGCGGGGCGATTTGGGGTCGCGCGGCTTGGCGGGAAGGCGGGCATGCCGGGACTTCCCAGGCCCATGGCTCTGGGAGCAGGAGCGTTCGACTGCTTGTATGTAATAAGTGGAAGCTACCATGCTGCATTTTATCTGATACCTAGGTATGGGGCTGCAGTCGCGTCGTCTTGCTTCTGCATGAATCATCTCTTCGACACTACGGTGCAATCTGTCGTGCCGCCCGTGCTGACCTCGGAAGCCTTTTTGAGAAGTACGGGCGAAGGCCCCTGTTTATGACAACAACAACGATAACCTTTTCTAGGATCGTATTGGGTCTCATTGTTGCAACTCTGATTATATTCTTCTTAACCACATCCGCTATTGTTGCACAGATAACACTGATGTCGCAATCAGCGACTGCACAAACGCTACGGCAGCCCGGATGCCTATACCTGCAATCTTATCCCCATCACCCAGATTCGGGTTGAAAGAGCACATGGTAAGCGATGCTGGCGTGGCCTTCTTGGGCAACAAACTCATGCACTTGACCACATCCTCTTCTTGTAACCCACCTTCACTCTCAAATCCATTGACCATGCCCACACTCTTATCCAAAACGTCCAAGTCAAGATGTACAAGCGATGGAGACATATCCCTCTTGTCAAGTCGCTTCTCCAACTCGCCCGGGAAATCCACAGCCTTCTCCGAATCACCCCAAATAACATCCGCCCCAGCTTCCGCAACCGTCTTCTTCTGCGTCTCATTCACATCGCGCAGCCCGACATACAAGAACCGGTCCTTGTAGTTCATCGGCGCGTACCCCGGTATCTGCTCTGTATGCCAATGCCAGCTCTTACCCGCCAACATCGACAAGCCCATGGCGTCGAAATACCCATTCTCGTTCGTCGAAGGCGTGTCCATATCGTCATGCGCATCAAAGTAGATAAAATTGAGATCCTTGATACCCAACCCGCATGCGGCTCCTACGCTAGCCATGCAGTTGCCAGATAGGATGAAGGGGAAGGAATTGCCATCTCGGGCTTTGCTGACTGCTAGGGAGGTGCGGCGGAGGACTTCGAAACTGCGGCCTATCTCGCCTTCGAAGTCGTCTACGGGCGGGATTTCGTCGATGTGGACTGTGACGCCTAGAGCTTCGAGTTGGGGGATGAGTCCGAGAGCTCGGATTCGGTTTGGGCCGTCGCCGACGCGGTGGTTGCGGAGGCCGACGTGGTAGGGTGAGAAGATGATGGTGATGGATGCAGCGGGCATGGTGGGGAGATGGATGGAACGATCGGGCACGTGATTTGAGAGGTGTCGTTGACAACAACGCCAGGAACTTCTACTTATGCGATGATTGTCTTGGTTACAGTGACGTCAGTGGTGGAGAAGTATCGCTGACTGATCATGCATGCTTAACAATCTAAGAGTTGCTGCAGTCTTTCGCTTCTCATGTTGCCGACTTACGATGCGTTATTATCCCACTCTACGGCTCCCAATGCCTTGGTAATTTTGCAACCCAGTTTCTCAACCATGCCGATGGGATGCCGATGGGATGCCGATGGGATGCCGATAGGATATCATAGACCTAGGACTTTTGATGGATGCTTCATATCGGCTATGACACATTTCATTGCTGGAGGTAGCCTACTCAGCTCGAAAGCTTAACGACGAAGAACCAGTTCAGTACATAACCGTTGTCCTAAGAGGAAACTTTGGCGAGCAGTCCAGATGTAGGATCATAGGCTAGAAGAAGTGGTCGAAACAATGGAAAAAAATGTCGTATTGTAGCTCCAGTATGCTATGGCTCAAGCAAGCTATGCCAGCAGGCAACGTCGCACTCCTGAATTGACTGTATAGGGCACCGGTGATGGAGACAACTATCTGACGTCATGTTCGATATCGCGTCGCAAATCGCGTCCCTCTCATTTCCTCCCTTCTGTGGCATCAAGTTTCAAATGGATTGATGTTCGTAGTCGGGAACGCGTAGATGTCGAATCGCTGAGCGAATGGAAGTTGGTGGGCTTAGAGATGCAGGCATGGGGTAGTGCGCACGTCCGCAACGAGGATAGCGCGCCGCCGACCTGACGCGCCAAGGGTCGTCCACAGTTATTCTCAAGCCATCCTCACATACATCGCGCAAACCTCTGCCGCCACGAACACGTCCCAACGCGTCCACGTCATCACACTCGACACCCCGAAACATCGACAGACGTACTACCATTCACTGCGCCATTGCGACCGTGACGCCGACTCAACTACACGCGGCGAACAGCCCAAACAGGCAACATGCCGCGGAAGAGCGCTGCGAAGAAGGAGGAGCCATCCTCGGATGAGGCGTCGGCGCATTCCGATGTCGAGATGCAGGACCAGCCAGACGACACAATGAACGGCTTCAAGAAGTTTGGCGTAAGCGCAACCCCCGTTTGCGCCTTCTTCGCCGCGACACTCACATGTCAAGCGGGAGGAAGGCGCGACCACGACAAGACATTGGCTAACATTCCAGACGCAGTACAATGTGGATACCCCAGACTACACAGTACGATGACTCCGACACGGCGCCACACTCACCCGGCCCAACAACTGACACGCGCACAGGACTCGGATACCAACCCCAACACCACAGCAAACAGCGTCGCTGGTGACGCGCCAGTCGACGGCCGAAGAAAACGCGCCGAAGAGATGAACATGCGCAAGAGCATGTACGGCAAGAAGGCGGAGGGGCTGAGGGCGTCAAAGGTACGCGACATCACTGCGCACTACATTCCGAGACATCACTAACTTGGCTTCTCTCACAGGAAGATGACACCATCCGCCGCTTTCGATACCTCCTCGGTCTGACGGACCTGTTCCGCCACTTCATCGACACGAACCCCAACCCGCGCATCAAGGAGATTCTCGCCGAGATCGACCGCCAGGATGCCGAAGAGACCAAGAAGTCAAAGGCGAGCAAGGTGCGGAAAGGAGGTGCCGCTGCGGAGCGTCGCAGGAAGACCGAGCAGGAAGAGGACGCCGAGCTAGTGCGCGAGGAGAAGCATGGCGGACACAACGAGACGGTCTTTAGGGAATCACCGGGCTTCATCAAGGGCGGCACCATGCGCGACTACCAGGTTGCGGGTCTCAACTGGCTCATTTCACTACATGAGAATGGTATCTCCGGAATCCTCGCCGACGAGATGGGTCTCGGAAAGACGCTGCAGACCATCTCCTTCATCGGCTACCTCCGCTACATTGCCGGCATTCACGGTCCCCACCTGGTCGCAGTCCCCAAGTCGACACTCGACAACTGGAAGCGCGAGTTCGCCAAGTGGTGCCCCGACGTCAACGTCCTGGTCCTCCAGGGTAACAAGGACGACCGTGCCGACCTCATCAAGGAGCGCCTGGTGCCCGATGGCTTCGATGTCTGCATTACCTCCTACGAGATGATTCTACGCGAGAAGTCGCACTTGAAGAAGTTCGCGTGGGAGTACATCATCATCGACGAAGCCCACCGCATCAAGAACGAGGAATCGTCGCTCGCCCAGATGGTCCGCGTCTTCAACTCCCGAAGCCGCTTGCTAATCACAGGTACACCCCTCCAGAACAACCTCCACGAGCTCTGGGCCCTGCTCAACTTCCTCCTTCCCGACGTCTTCGGAGACTCCGCCGCTTTTGACGACTGGTTCACCTCCCAGAACGCCGACTCGGACGCCGTCGTCCAACAACTCCACAAGGTCCTCCGACCCTTCTTGCTCCGACGTGTCAAGGCCGATGTCGAAAAGTCGCTACTACCGAAGAAGGAGATCAACCTGTACGTGGGCATGTCCGACATGCAGGTTCAGTGGTACAAGAAGATTCTCGAAAAGGACATCGACGCGGTTAATGGCGGTGCCGGCAACAAGGAGTCCAAGACCCGTCTGCTCAACATTGTCATGCAGCTGCGAAAGTGCTGCAACCACCCATACCTGTTCGAGGGCGCCGAGCCTGGTCCGCCATACACTACCGATGAACATCTCGTCACCAACGCTGCGAAGATGGTCATGTTGGACAAGCTGCTGAAACGTATGAAGGCTCAGGGCAGTCGAGTGCTCATCTTCTCGCAGATGAGTCGTGTGCTAGACATCATGGAGGACTACTCGGTCATGCGCGACTACAAGTACTGCCGTATCGACGGTTCGACCGCCCACGAGGACCGTATCCAGGCCATCGACGACTACAATAAGGAGGGGTCGGAGAAGTTCCTGTTCCTCCTGACTACCCGCGCTGGTGGACTGGGTATCAACTTGACGTCTGCTGACATCGTCGTCCTCTTTGACAGTGACTGGAACCCGCAGGCCGATCTGCAAGCCATGGACCGTGCCCATCGTATTGGTCAGACCAAGCAGGTCTACGTCTTCCGATTCGTCACTGAGATGGCCATTGAAGAGAAGGTGCTTGAACGTGCGGCTCAGAAGCTGCGTCTCGACCAGCTAGTCATTCAGCAAGGCCGCTCGCAACAACCTGTCAAGAATGCCGCATCCAAGGACGAGCTCCTGACCATGATCCAGCACGGTGCCGAGAAGGTGTTTGCAAGCAAGGGCCCCGTCGGTCCAGCAGCTGATGGTGAGCTTGCTGATGACGACTTCGAGGCTGTCATGCGTCGCGGTGAAGAGATGACGGAGAAGCTCAACAAGAGGTACGAGACGCTCGGTCTTGACGATCTCCAGAAGTTCACCTCGGACTCAACCTACGAGTGGAATGGCGAGACCTTCCAACCACGAAAGAAGGAAATCGGCATCTCCTGGATCAACCCCTCGAAGCGTGAGCGCAAAGAACAAAACTACGGCATCGACTCTTACTACCGTAAGACGCTGGTCACTGGTGGTCGGACAGAGAACAAGCAACCCAGGATACCCCGCGCGCCCAAGCAGATCACCATCCACGACTACCAGTTCTTCCCCAAGCGACTCTCCGAACTCCAAGACAAGGAGACTGCATGGTACCGCAAGGAGAACAATCTAAAAGCTCCTCTTCCAGAAGGTCCGGATGAGGATCTCGAAGCTCGTGAAGCCGACCAGCAACTTGCGCAGCAGGAGATTGATGATGCAGAGCCACTGACAGAAGAGGAGAAGGCTGAGAAAGAACGCCTGATCGAAGAGGGCTTCCCTGAATGGAACAAGCGTGACTTCCAGCAGTTCCTCAACGGCAGCGCCAAGTACGGTCGCCAAAACTACGAGGGCATATCGGAGGAGGTTGACGGCAAAGACGCCGACGAGATCAAAGCTTACGCCAAGGTCTTTTGGAAGAAGTACAAGTCGCTGGACAACTGGCAAAAGCACCTGGGTGTCATTGAAGAGGGCGAGCTCCGTGTGCGACAGTCGGAAGAGAAGAAGCGCCTCATCGCGAAGAAGATTGGCATGTACCGCATGCCCCTCCAGCAGATGCAGATCAAGTACACCGTCTCGACCACCAACAAGAAGGTGTACACCGAGGAAGAAGACAAGTTCCTCGTCGTCATGCTGCACAAGCACGGCGTCGAAGGCGAGTACATCTACGAGAAAATCCGCGACGAGATTCGCGAATCGCCCCTCTTCCGCTTCGACTGGTTCTTCCTTTCCCGGACACCACAGGAGATTGGCCGTCGCTGCACCACGCTCATCTCCGCTATCGTGCGCGAGCTCGGCGAGGGCGACCTCAAAAACAAGAATGGCAAGCGCGGGTACGAGGAAGAGGAGACGGAGGACGAGGAAGAGGAGCAGCCGAAGAAGAAGTCTAAGAATGGTGTCAAGGTATGTTGAGTTTGGATCTGGTGATGATGCCGTACACTAATAGAGAGCAGAACAAGCAGCTCGACACTGTCAAGGGCAAGGCTGGATCGGCATCCGCGACACCATCGAGGGCAAGCAGCGTTGCGACGAATGGCTCGGCGACTAAGGGTTCGGCGACCAAGGGCAAGGGCAAGGGCAAGAAGAAGTAGTGTTTCTGATGCGGAAGCGTAGGAGGGCAGCATGTTGCGGTGTTTTGGCGTTGTAAAGATCGGCCAGCGTGTTTTAGCGCACTACATCCTCGGTACGGGTATGTTGAGCTTTGATCCGTCCACGACGGTATGGGTGGGTGTTTGCGTGTTGCATTTGTAATTGTACAAGATGAATAGAGGTGTTCATATACTATTTTGTGAGTTCATACCGTGTCGTCGAAACCGTGATCATCCACCTTCTTCACCAGGTCGAAAGGTATCGGTCCCGTCACTGTTCGCCAATCCCCAGCACAAGCGTGTCAAAAGTACAATATATACATTAAAGAAGATACTCATAAACATCATAGCCCGACTCATCAAGCCTTAATCTCAATCCCTTGCTGCCCCTCACACGCGCTAATCTCGCCGAAGTACCACAAATGCGCATCAACATCAACCCCAAAATCCCCCTCATTTCCCTTCAAATTCAGGTTTCCCGTCAACATGTTGATATCCCCCGCCGTCGGCTGCACATCATTCCCACTAGTAACATAGTACTCGGGGCTAATATGCCTATACCCCAACAGCGCCGGCGGCAACTTAGGCACCGGATCATTCTTGTGCGTAACGCGATACGTCTCGCCCATGCCCGTTTTGGTAATGTAGTCGCTCACGCCCGCCAGCCCGATCTTCGGCGCGCCGTATGTGTATAAATCGACGGTCGTGCCTGTGGATCGTAAATAGCCTGCTGCTAGACTCGCGAGTGCGCCACCGAGGGAATGGCCTGTCGCTACGATGCGGTAGGTGGGATACTGCTTTCTTGCTGTTGCTAGAGCAGCTAAGACGGGTTTCTGTGCTTCGAGCCAGGAGTTCCAGAAACCTGTTGAGGCGTTGCATGTTGGGCAGATGGTTGTTGGTTGAACTGGGAAAGCGACGTTTGTGATCCAGTTGCGGACGCTGCGGGAGCCGCGGAAGGAGATGACGATGAGTCCATTTGTGGAGTCTGTGGCGACGAAACCCGTTACGTCGGATTTTATGCTGTTTTCGAATTCGGAGAGGGTGTTTGTGGTGGCGGCTTCGATGAGGGGGCAGTTGCCTTGCGGGCAGGTGACTTTTGTGTTGGGGCTGTTGTTGTTGCTGAGGCAGTAGGCGGCGGCGGAGTATTGGGAGTAGAATTCGAGTTGCGAGAGGAGGGTTGGGGATACCGCTGTTGGGTGGGTGGGTTAGTGAGAGTGCTGGTGAAGATGCATTTGGGTGAGGGTGAATGTACCTCTGCCTTCGATCTCGACGGGTGCTGCGGTGACAGAGTGAACTGCACCGAGCAGTAAGGCTCCTAGACGGAGGACAGAAGGTGCCATGTTGATTTGACGGGTGTGTCGAAACGGTCAGGTCGATGTCGATATACAATAAAGAATGTACCGACGACGAGACAAATGACCCGATATAAGCACAAAGTGAGAGAATACACCGCACAACAGCCTTCCTACAAACCTACCACATCGCGTGAAACGCGACAGACTATATACTTTACCCACGCCATCTTGACTAACCTCAGCACACCAGGTCCTTCCAAGCCCTGCGCGGTGAGTATTCCCGGCGGTCAAAGTAAACGGACCAGGTAGTGGGACCATCCTGGACCATTGTGGTGATCGGCGCCCACACCAGAGCTACGGGTGCCGGGGTGAGATGACGCTTGTTCTGGCGCTTGTCCAGGGGATGTCTGTGCCCAACGTGGCTATCCTAAGATTAGACATTTCGCCGCTGGGCTGGATGTACGCCACAGAAACCTCGATGGTGGAATTGGAATGCGGTTGTTGGAGATGCCGGAAAGCTCAGCCCCATAGATGCCGGAAGACTCAGCCTCGAGATCGGCGCTGCAAGTCGCATAACAACAAGTGTCGCAGTTGTCGCAGTTCGTCGTCGGCTTTATCGGTAGAACTACACGTTCAACCAGACCCACCTGCTTCATTCGTGCGTTTGGTGCGTCGCCTTCCTTTCCAAACCGATTAGTCGACGTTGTTCAGTTCGGCGCTTTTGTGTGCACGCGACGAAACGAACGCATGATCCCGCACACTACCGCATGCAGCATGCATGAAAGAAGGCGTTTACCGGCATTCAGCCACAAGTAACAGCGTGGTGTGACAGCCAATGAATGTAAATACCGAGGTAGAATAGCCTGACATCAGCGATAGAACGTGGAGTATTGGGAAGGGAGATGTGTTCTTCTGGTCATGGATGGAGAGTGCATTATGTGTGCTTGTTGCACTGCCGCTCAGCTGTCAGCGCATTCTAAGCATGTGCGACTGCGGTGCGCTGGCATGCGCATGAGTTGCTTGCACGCGACAAACGGGTATTTGTCGTGATGGAGGTGGAGCGCTCACTTCGTGGTGCTGAATGTTGCGGGGTAAGAGCATGACGTAGTCAACTCAGAAGCGCCTCTTGGCTTTCGCTAACGTGGACAGGAAGGTACCTAAACAGCAACATCACGGATCAGACCAGAAGCTGTTTGTACCCCGAACCTGTGTGGTGGTGTAGAAGCAAGAAACGTCGGTGTCAGCGCCCTTCTGGGCTAGTGCACGGTACTTATGCGGGGTGCGCAACAGTCCCAATAATTGTGTTGGTGGGCTGAATGCACCCCAGGCACTGGCGTTCCTGCTTCAGCGGCTAACGTATATCTCCGAATCCTCCCAGTCGCGTGCTGCATTTCAAGTCAGCTGTCCACGGGCATGTTACGCATATGGAGAACGAGGCTTTCAAATTTTTTCCTGCTTTGGCAGAATCTTTCATTTCCACCGGCTGTGATAGATCGGGGCTAGTCGCTAAAGGTACAGAACTCCGTGCTGCTTGAGTCGTGATGTGTGGGGAAGAAAGCGAAATACGCGAAATCGCAGAACCACATGGTATCGCAAGATGTACAAGGTACAAGGGTGAGACGGCGAGAAATCGGCAAAAGAGAAATGTACCGTGAGGCCCAAAGCGGTACCAAAGGGGTTGAGGCTCTCAAATCTAGGCTACTTGTTACCGCGTTTGAGAACGGCACGGGCCTACTGCGGTGGGACGAAGGGTTTGACGAGCATCTCACTGAATCTGGAATCGCTGTTAGTACACTGTAACCTGAGTCGGTGTGCAATACCCACTTCTCGAGCTTCTCCTTGCCGCGCACCTCCTCGACCAACAGCGGCATCTTGACCACGTTGAACTCGTCGTATAGCTCTTCAATCTGATCGAGGTACTTCTTCTGCATCTTCCGTCGCGCATTGCACTGCTCGCAGGGGTTGTCCTCCTTGGGAAACAGCAGCTGGTTGACGACAATGGAGTGCGTGTCGATTTCGTAGCTGTTGAGCTCCTGGATCATCCGCTCCGTCTCGTACAGACTCAAGAACTCGGGGATGCAGACACACACAAACGTGGTGAGGTCGGCGTCCTTGAACTGCCCATTGACTTCTCCAATTGTCTCGCGCAGGTTCTCCATCTTCTCAACCAGCTCATCCATGTTTTGTCCGTTGGGTAGTCTGCCGGAGGCACCGAGGAAAGAGTTGAGCATGGGCCCGAACTGGCGCGAGAGTTGCGAAACCTTGGAGAGCGCTTTCTCCATTACGGTGGGAAATTGGAGGAAGCGTAGCGTGTGGCCCGTGGGCGCCGTGTCGAAGATGATGACTTCGTAGGACATGGACTTGACCTGCTTGAGCACTTCGGCGAACGACATGGCTTCGTCTACACCGGGAATGCTAAAGGCCAGATCTTGCATCATGCTGCCCATACCGCCCAGGCCCGCCATGGGGTCTTGGCCCTCTTCCGCTCCGCTCGCCAGCAAGTCTTGTATACTGCCGTTGGGGTCGATCTCCATGGCGCTGAGGTTGTCGAAGCCGTTGACGAGGCGCGCGTCCTTGCCAAACTTCTGGTTGAAGGCATCCGAGAGGTTGTGCGCGGGGTCGGTCGAGATGAGGAGGACAGACTTGCGGTGCTTCGCGAGCTGGATGGCGAGGGAACAGGAGGTTGTAGTCTTTCCGACACCACCCTTACCGCCAACGAATATCCAGCGGAGCGTCTTTTGGTCGAGGATGGACTGGAGCGTGGGCGCCATGTCGGCGTCGATGAGCGCGGTCGAGGCCATGTCTGGTGATCGGGGTATGGCGGTATAGAGGGAGGTAGTGTGTAGCTGTAGGAGGGAGTGTTAGTTGTGTTCTGAGCTGCCCAAACATAATGCTCGCCTGCTTCCCGAAGCTTCGGAGGGGCAATGCAACCTGGAAGCGCCTACCTCTGGATTTCACTCAGACCTCCTGTGGTTCTTTTGTATAGCTCAATCTGGTTGTGTGCGCGAGAAGCGTGGAATGACTACGGTGAGAGTAGATGCGGTATGGTTGCGTTATTGCAGAGCAAGCAAGTCGCGCAGGAAAGCTGACTGGGTGGGAATGCGGGCGGGCGCGTCATGCGCTAACGCGCCACTGCACAGCCACATATGGCGCTCACCCCGCCGCCTAACCCTTGATCCCCAACCTGGAAAACATCCAGCACCCCGCCGCTACTCCAACGGCGGATCTGCTTTACCACGACGGATCTCCTATCTCTAGCCTTCGGCCCTGGAGCTGCTCGCCTTCCCCGCTTATTCATAGCAGCATGCCGCCTACGTAAGGGCTTCATCCTATAGCCGCGTGCTCTACACTGCAAGTTGAGGTCTACATCGCCTTGTATACTGCGATCTGTGCATGCGAATGTGCGGCGCGACACCTACTGTGCTCTCATATTGTTGCGGCCTGCTAGACAATGCTATGTGTATTCTCAAAGCCATGCGCGTATCTTCATCACGCATCGCGACCGTTGGCGCCGATGTGGTTCGTAACGTAGTGATTTCGACGCAGCCTGATGTATACATGGGGATCTTTTGATCTGAAAGCTACGGTTCGGGGTACATGTTGTCAGTCCACGATCGGCACTGCTCTTCTCTTCTTTCTAGATATAAAGCCTCGGGAAAAAGGTTTGAAGTAAGGCTTGACACCCAAGCGTTCAAAAAGATATCGCCTCATAACCTGACTAGTGTCTGCGACGGCTAAAATTGCGTACAACAATGGCGAGTTGTGTGTGTACTTGCAAGACCCTTTCTTGTTCATGATTAGCCTGCTCCTTGTCGTTGAGACACATTGGAACGTGGTGCACTGATCAACGTCTTTCGTAGATGGCTGAGGTCCTTGATACGAGATGGAGACATAGAGAAAACACGCGCAAAGATGTTAACGAAGTTGAGGTGCAAATGTGACGTGGTGTGTGAACCGGCTGGACTCGTGTTGATGTGCCAGCCGTGCCACAAGCCGTGGCCGCCAAGTCGCCGCTGGCCCCACCCCGGCTGTCCGCCTCGCTCCTCCGGACAAGCGCCGCACCGTCACCACCACCACCACAACACCATCATCGACGTCTGACACCGCACATCTATTGCAATGACTTCTCCGAGCACCCAGGCGTTTTAGGGCCATATCGCGACAATCGCGCAGTAGATTTGGGGTCGCAGCTTCTCTCGTGCGCCTGTGCGCGCTCTGCCCGTGCTTACTCCCGCGAACCCACCCCCTTACTCTGCCCGCGTAGATCCAACCCATTCTCACACCCGCGAGGTCCTCTCTCCGTATACCGTCGTACACCTTGGATCAAAGAAGCCTGAACGGTGACGATTCGTCAGAACGCGTGTAGAGTATTTCTACATTGTAGGCGTATGAACGGACATCAGGAAAGCAGAAAAGAATAAGGGCCACAAAGAATGTAGGTTCTAAATAGATATATCGGAGGATCAAGAAGACAGTCTAGGAACACTCATCGAATGTACTATCCCTCTCTATCCAGTAGCTTATCTGCCGGGGTTCTTGGCCAACTCGTAGACCACGTTCTAGGGGAAGGATGCCCACGAAGATGCTCTGCCCCATAGGTGCTTGGTGTAACAACGCACAAAGGAGGTGTTTCTTGACACACCATGCGCATGCTTCGTGGTTCTCGGCGTACTTTCGACCCTTCCTCAAGATGAGACCATTGGCAATGCCTAGAACCAGTCAGTCTGCGTAGCTTCGCACATAGAGCTCACGTACATTGGTTGTAATGCGAAGGAGCGTTGATAGGATCGGTCCAGCGAGCCCAGAGGGGCTTAGACTTCTTCGTTCGCAGCACCTCGTTCAGCTTCTTCAGAAGCTTGGCTTGGATTGCGTTGCTCAGCGTGTCGATTGGATGCCAGGCACCTTGGGAGGCATTGCTAGGAATCCATACGCGGATGGGCAACTCAAATGCTCGGCGGTCTTTCTTGCCTCGATTTGTGGGTGGACCGACATTGCGTAGGGGTGCTTGGAAACCCTGAATCACGCTCGCTGCGTCACCATTCTCGGAATCGCCCTCATCCCCCTCGGCTTCACCCGCTTGCGATCTCTCGTGGACCTCATCGGCGTTCTCCATCGGGAAGTCCTCGATATCTGCCAACTCTTGGAATTCGGACAACTCGAAGAGCATATCGTCTTCGTTGTTCAAACCCTCTACAACGCCATGGTCTGCACCTTGGACACCCCGGAAGTCTGCACTTCCTGTTCTTGAAACGTCTTGGAAGTCTGCACTCCCGGCTTCGGGGAAGTCTGCACTTCCAATTCGAACAAGGTCTGCACCTTCCGCTTCGGGGAAGTCTGCACTCCCATTTTGAAAAAGGTCTACACCTTCCGCTTCGAGAAAGTCTACACTTTCATCTTGATCAAGGTCTGCACCTAGGAAACGCTGAGGATCTAAACCCTCATCGCCCGACCTGTTATCGTCTTCCGGGGCGCGAGATGAAGTCTCCCCGTGCTGTACAAGGTCAGACACTTCGCGTCGGGGGTACTAGGGTCACTCACCACCACGAACGCTGGCTGGAAGTAATCTTGGATCGACTTCTTAGGCTTCTTCATCGACACCGGTTCATCGGAGTCTTGGGCTGTTGGCTGGGGAAGACTTGCGGTTTCGCTATCTGCTTGGAAGTGTGCGCTGTTAGATGCAGCCACACGTCGCTTGGAGGTGAGCCTGACGTCTGCGCTGGTTTGGGCCGCTGCATTGCGTATCTCGGTACGCTTCCCGGTCTGACACTAAATACAGTTAGTGTGTGTTTTGGCAGCATGGGGGAGGAACTCACGGCTTTGTCTTGGAAACGGCTCGACGCACTTCGCCCCTCGACTGGGGCATGCGCATCCTGCGCTGACATACTAGGGGGCGCTTGATAGTTCTTTACGTGCTCTAGGTTCTCGGCGACGAGCTTGAGGTGAGCTTCCTCGATGTCTCGTCTCTTCTTTTCGAGCTTGCGGAGCCTCGCATCCGCCTTCTCGACAAAGGGGAGGTAGTCCTCGGAAGGTAGGCGCTCTCGGATAAATGCAGGATTGTTGGTCGTCATTCTGACTAGGTTATGGCAAATGTAGAGGCGAGAAAGTATGGAGAGAAGGGTGTGTAGGCGGAGATGTGAGTTCGTGGCACGCGTTGGGAAGGTGCCAACCCACGCGCGCCTTCCCCACCAGCACTCGAACGCGTCTTCATGAACTCAATTCTGGAAACCATCCTAGTGACACTCACCAATACTCACGATGAAGAAACGCGGTGCCGCCCATGACTTCGCCAAGTCTTCACCCAAGCGCGTACGGTCAAGCAGCTCTTCCGAGCATGACAACACCACCGTCCAAGACTCCTTCGAGTCCTTCCTAGATTCCGAGAGCCAGCTTGAAACCCAAGATACCAGCCTACTCACCTTCGCTAGGCCGCTCTCGCCATTCGCCGACTTACTTCAGCATGGGTATGTCGCCCTAGCCGATGCTGTCTTCAACTACGAGTCCAAGCGGAATCATCCCAAGACTAGGGATGGCCTCGCACATTGGCGACGCGTCTGCGTGCCAATCCTAGCGGCTTTACCCAATGGTGTTCTCCGTGGTATCGTATATGGTGACCTAGCGGAAACGTACCGCCAAGGAGATCCAGACCTAGTCGAGCTCTACGGCTCAGAGCATCCTAGTAGCGAAAGTTACGACACTACCGTAAGTTTATCATGGATGAATCGGTCGTCATGCTTATCCCATATGTAGAGTATTGAAACCACCACCTGGTTGCACAACGCAAGTATGGTCGCGCCTGGCCACTATGTCCGATACTTTGTTGCACCTAGTACTGGCCTACCGCCGACGATTGGCGAGCTTCTTGTCATCGTCGACACGCTCCAGACGTACCTCGCCCAGGTACCTCAGCCCTCATATGTGTGAGCGGGCAGCACACCCTGCTAACTGACGGCTACCAGTCACCTAGTAATATTGAAACTGGAATGGGAATCGACAATGCCAAGCGTCATCTTTCCGAGGAATCTCAGATCCAATTAGGGAAGCACATCTTCCTATGCTCATCCAAGTCCACGCGCATGCAATCAGTAAAGCGTCGCCGTGTCCTAGCGGACTTTTGTCGGATACTCCAAGAACGACTTCACGCAGTGCCTAGCGAATTCCTAGAACACAGAGACTCCCGAGCCTTAGCATATGTCGGCTACGCGCTTAGGGTTTTGGATCGTTTGCGTGAACATGGAACGTCGGATGAGCGCTCTAGTTTCCTTATGCCTTTGCTCGAGAATACAGCTATCTACCTAGGCATGCCTTACCGATGGGATAGCTTCCCAGTCAGCTTTGTGGTCAACGAAGAGGAGGCTGCACTTGGAGAGATGCTCATCAATGGCCTAGCCCTAGGATATATAGAGTCCGGATTCGGTGTCGCTGGGCATCCTGCTGGCCGTAAGTGTACTCCCCGTCACGCTCATTCACGTTGCTGACTATCTGAAGTAAATGTCAACTCTGCCATCCAAGCCAAGACCGAGAATTGGGACGATGCAATTGCCTTCCGGTTCCGATACACGTGCTACAAGCACAACATGGTCAAAGAGGGCGAGCGAGTTTCCAAGATACCTGCCGGCGAACTCCTCATCAAGAAAGCCCGTCTCGAGACTATCAACCAACTTCAAGACGACATAAAATCCAATATACCTGATGTCCTAGAGATCCGCAGTCGCCTAGCAAAGGTCACATTGTCTGGGGAAGATCAAGCATCCGAGACTTTGAGGCGTTTTTTCGATTCGATTCAGCAACGCAGCAATTTGTTGCTGAACAGAATGGAAGAAGATCTCCAGAACATGGAGAAGGGTTGAGGTCCGCTACGTAAGTTTATGCTTACTATCTAAGCTGTAGACCTTTGCTTGAAAGGTGCAGACCTTTCTCTACGAAGGTGTAGACCTTTCTCTACGAAGGTGCAGACCTTTCTCTATGAGGGTGCAGACCTTCTCCTGTAAGGTGCAGACCTTTCTCTAGAAGGGTGTAGACCCTTCGCTACAAAGCCATTAACCTCGTTTCTACTAGATAATCATAGCGTTATAGACAACCTAGAAAAATCCTCTGACTGCTCTAACGGACAATATCTAGACCTCCACGCCAAGGGTATAAGTAACTATGTGAGGGATGGATACAAATTTTGGATGGACTACACTATTATGATGTGTTTCCTTCGAGCTGCACCTCACCTGCATGCCCAGGTGATGTTTCGAGGTGCACCTGGTTGCGCACGTGGAAGCGCGTCTTTAGCGCGCTTCGTTACCCCCACAGGCTGATCCTCTGAGCGAATGCTCATCCACACTCTTCACTACACACTCACCACACCCACCAATATGGACGACGACCAAGACTACTACGAGCGGCTTAGCCATGCCGAGCGGGCGAGCTTGAACCTATGCCACGAGACTATCGTGGCTTCGCCGGCAGGGCATGTCGCGCCGGCAAACGACGCCGAGCAAGAACGACACGAGATGCACGTCCGAGAACTTCAGCGCCAAGCCAGGCGCGGAAACGAGATGAACCAAGAAGTCACTCAGATCAATAGTGACATCGAGCTCCTGGCAGCCATGAAGAATCTCATGAACGAGAAGGCCGCTACCGAGAGTGGGTTGATCGTTCTCAACAATTGTCCGTGTGCTGATACATAATAGGCGCTCTATCCAAGACCACCGAGAAGCTGAACGCGAGCGTAATCCTAGCACAAGACCGTTCGAAAGACGTCACTCGCCTGATCAAGACGACTACCGAGAAAGGCAACCGCCTCCGCGATGTCCAAAATGGCGCCCGCGGTCTCCAAGACAAGCTTCGTGAGGCTGAGAGAGCCCGAAAGGAAGCGACCAAGAACCTCGGGGTTGCTCAAGATACCGTCGGCAGGCGCGACAACCGTATCCTAGAACTCGAGGCAAGTCTCAACGCTCACATTCGAAAGGCGGCAGAGATATCCAAGGAACGCAAAATGGCTATCGACATCGCGAACAAGAAAGCCGAGAAGTCTTCCAATGACATCCGCGAGCTCCAGAGACGACTCCAAGATGCGACCAACATGTACAAGAAGCGTGACGACGCTCTGAAGACTGCAAACAAGGAGGCCAAGACGGCAGCCAGCACTATCCTAGAGCTTCAGCAGCAGCTAAAGAGCGCCGAGCAATTGACTTCACAAGAGCAAGAATCCGAGAGCAACTTTGAGGAGCTCTACTACGCCGAGAAGCTCAAGTCAATTCAAGCCCGTCGCGATGCCGCCAAATACAAGGCCGACGCTGGTCGTCTCCCAGCGGCTACGGCCGAGATCCAAGAGCTAATCAAGTGTAACAACGAGCATGTTGATGCGCAAAGGAGCCTCACGAAGACGGTCATTGAGCAAAACGACATGCTCGCATACTTCCAGACGAATGGCTAGTGGACACTAGTCTTTGTAAGGTGTAGACTTTACGACCAGTGCCAAGCAACTTTGAGACGTGTGTTTTACAAGGTCTAGACCTTGATCCGGGAAGTGAAGACTTCCCCGCGGGAGTGCAGACTTCCCTTCTTCTGGAAGTGCAGACTTCTATTCTTCTGGAAGTGTAGACTTCTCGCGACGAAGCGAAGACTTTCACAATACTTTAGGCAGTTGCAGACGCTTCTTACATCTTATATAAATCTATTTCTTTTCCTTGCAGTGTTGTGTTCGCGGAGGTAAAGTATATGAAGTATATGTTGATAATTTCGATTGCACATGTGGTACCGACTAATGCTGCGGGTAGACTTGAGTTGTCATCTTATCCTCTCCAGAACGTAAGCATACCGGCATGATATGTTGGGGTCGGGACTTAACTTTCTTAACCCTGCTGCACGTTTACAGCCATAGAACGACCAGGAATGAACGTGAGTGTGACGGGGTAGAGAGTTTCTTTGTGTTTACAGTCTTGCTCACTTTTACACTCAGACATCTTATTTCGCATCAACAAATCTAACAGCCGAGAACATGATTTTACTTGGATTACCAAGGACACGGCCCCCCTCTTAGCAACCCCGGCGCATACGACCAGTATGGCCATCCTAGTTACGGTCCTCAAAATTACGGTCATTCTAGTGGCTACGGCTACCAGGTACCTCTTATGTACGGTCACTCTTCTGGCCAAAACTCCAACTTTGGCGACTCTGGTCAAAACATTCCTAGTGGCTACGAGCACTTCGAGCAACAGGCTGCGCTTCCGCGCAGACAACCTCCTAGCAACTCGAAGCGCTCCTCCAATCATAGCGACCTTCTGCGATATGAGCGTAAATGCTACAGGCCTCTAGCTGGATCGATTCCAGTTCAAGGGGGTAATGGGACCCACGGTGTGCGCCCCCATCACTCCAAATGTCCCAGATGTAGTGAGCCTTGGACCGAGCATCGCGACAGAAGCACACAGCGTGCGAAAGGCCGTGCCGCCACTGCGATAGCTGAAAGCACGTGGGCAAGACAATGCCAACCCCGCACTGGAAACGCCTTCAACTGATCGTATTAGTGCTGCGGGGATGTCCTCGCCAACTATCAGTGGTGGAAGAAAACATATAATACCAGTCCACCCCTAGATGTACCAATCTGCCCAACCCAAGACGAGCAAGATATTCTTAAGCGATGGGGGTGCGTGAGCCATGAAGGAACTTGGCAACCGGAGGAGATATGGTACCTTCCCGATATCACGCACGACGAGGAGCCTAGACCCAATGAAGTGTACCAGAACGATCGAGCTGGTTGACCAGACCTGCAAGGCGAGGTCGACAGGTTAAATACGGAGCTCCAGTCGCTAGGGAATGCGCATGCCAAGGAACTTAAGGATCTCAAGAACCTGCATGCCGAGATCGTCAAGACGGCCAAGATCGACGCAGCGATTGAGGTCATTAGCGTTGCCAGCAACTTAGGCATTACTAATCTCCTTCTCGAGGGCCTAAAGGATATCCTCACTCCAGGCTAGATAGATAGGAGTGACACTTTCTAGAAATACCTTCATTCCTCCCGCTCCCGATTCCAAGAGAGTCTCTTCACGAGTGTAGACTTGTGTCTTCGATGCGTGAAGACCTGCTGCTTAAACTAAGTACCGCTTAGCGTAGCTATATAAGTTAGACATCACGGTAATGCATAGCAATTACTAATAGGAGCAACCTCGTGATTGATCAGACTAATGTGCATGGAAAAGCAAGTCTACGCTTGCAAAGATGTAGGAGTCTGCACTCCAGGATAGCAAGTCTACACTTGCGGTTCTTGAGATCCAGGAATCTTCACTTCCCAGAAATAGTCCACACTTAGAGGACGAGCAAGATTTCGCTTTCTAGATGCCATCAAAACCATCACCGAAGGCGGGCTTCTTGCGCTCTTCGACATGAATCGCAAGAGCATGAGCAGGAGTTTTGGTGTGTTTAGGAAACTCAGACAGTTTTCGGATAGCGGCCGCGCGATCTATGCGAAATTAGTAATGTCAAGATGTAAGGGCTGGTATACATGCCGGGAAACAGCCCCGTTGCCACGCAGACATCCTCGGAGCGGCACTTTCGATTGACCGTCGAGACCGTATCCCAGAGAGCAGGGGTGAACCAGCGCAGACTAGAAAGCTCATCGCTCTGCGGCATCGAATGACGTAGGAAGCAGGCATGCATCTTGGTAGTCGAAGCAGAACAGGGGTTTTAGGTACTCAAGCTGAGCCCATTGACCTTCGCGCAGGTTTAAAAGCATCTTGATGTTGATATTTGCGTGAGAGTGTTCCCTAAGCACAGTCCTGTATGTAACATGAGGGTATCTAGGAGCCCGTTCCGAACAGGGGTATCTAGGATGCTGTATACTAGGTTCCAGGGAGCGCGTGATCATGTCCACCGTGTAGTGGCTTGGGCTGCGGTCCTCTAATACAGTGTTCTTGATCGCGACTTTTCCGCGGACGACGTTCTTCTTGGGCGCGCTTTACAAAGGTGGGCCTTGTCGTGTAGAAGGTCGGTTGTTCGTGAGGGCACCCGCGCCCGCCACGGTGTTGGACTTCTTAGAAGCCCACTTGGACTCGTTGATACGCTTGGGCGCAGGCTTGTCGGGCAGCTCATTCTTGGATGCGAATGGCTTGGTCGCTGGCTCTTGGGGCTCGTTCGCTAGGGGCTGCGGTATAGGCGACTTCGCCTTCTCTTGGAAGTGGTTGCTCGGTGCCACTGGCTCAGCCTCGGTGGCGTCTTCCTCAATTTCATCGGACAGAATGAGACCTTCGTCTACCAGGCGCTTCGCTAAGTCTGAGCCGAAGGCTGACCTCAGTGTTTCACCGTGGAGGAAGTACCAACTCTCGTACTGAAACTGTCAGGTCATTGCGGAAAGACGGGAAGTGAACAGGCTTACCTTGTAGCCCCTCGGGTTCTTGTTCACGAAGAAGAGCGTGTGCTTGGGAACCGGCTTAATCATATCGCCCTGGTTCTGCGCTAGCGCAGCATCGGAGCCGCGGCTGTCCAGAGCGAGCTGGTGAACAGCTTGGGCTTTTTGCGCTGCCGCCACTTGCTTTTCGGCGTTAAACATTACTCAGAATCGGTAGCTGTTGATGTATAGGAAACTAAAACGGTATGAGGTGATGCGAGGTGAGGTGTTAGAGTGTAGAACTGAGAGCAAATTCGAAGATACAACCAAACGCGCTAGCCCGAAGCTCTCCTCCGACGCTCTATTTCACTTCACCTTTAATGATCCAAACTTTTGGGGACCGCGTCTCAAACCCAACGCTGGTCCCTGTTGAATATCGCACACCAGCCCAAGGGAAACCTAACGTCTCTATTCTAGGCCACCTCAAATCACAGTAGAGTTGTCGATAATATTATGTTGTTCGCTGTGTGAATCTCAGTTCATAGTAGCCGCAGCACTTTCGGTTGCTAGCGTTATACCTTATACTCTCTACTTATTGTAGTTGCTTGTAGATTCTGTTAGTACTCATAACTGTTTGCCCGTTGAAGATCTTTTGCCAAACCACCACGACAAACCCGCACTATTTTCGATCAAACCATGGAAAACGACGCGCAAATCCAAAACCGAGAAGGCAGTCAAGAAAACGCAAGAAGAAGCTGCGCATCAACGGACGTAAGAGCAGCAAGCCCGCAGAGCCCAAGAGCAACTCCACGCCCAAGAACAAGACATTCGGGAACATTATGAACAATACCAACACAAAGACTTCTCCGGGGATTTCGACTCCCGAGAAGCCTCGCCCGATTTCGACCAGGTACGCTTGCAAAATGGTGTACTCATCGCTCAACTAACACCATGAAGGCAACGCTCGATGAGGAGCAGGACCAAGTCAAGTACTTCCTAGAGATGAACAAGGCCGAAATCCTGGAGAAGCTCCCGAGCAACGCAACCTCGTTCAGCCGAGCAGCTACCGTCCAGCTGTACTCCAAGCTGCGCAATACGGTCCAAGACCTCCAAGATCCAGCCGACAACGCCTGCCACGAGGGTTAGGACCAAGGCAAGGCAGACACCTAGGACCCAGCTTTCACAGCTAGCATCCACCAAGCTGTGGTCTTACTCACTAAGCATGCTAACGAGCGTTTCAAGGTAACCTATAAAGTAAAGAAACAAGCGGAAGACCTCAGCAAGTTGCTAAAGAGCTATGAGGGAGCCTCCAAAATGCCCGAGCCCTTCACAAATCGCAATTCAAGGACGCATAACGATTGCATAGAGAAACCTTCCAGGGTGATGCCCAAACAATTTGCATGTTACTATTTCAACTATTTATAGAAGCCAGTGATACCTTTCCGTGTGGGCCGTCTTATTTAGAGTCATGCTGGCTCTTTCTACGAGTCCTAGTGATCGGCTCTTATTCGATAGTATGTACCTTCACAAGATGCCAATCAATTTAACTGCCGAAAACATTACGTACGTATGAATAATCCTTTGAGTACAAATGTGCTTTCAAAACGATTAGGTAGCAGCCGCGGTTGACGCGGCAGTATTGCAGCCTATCCTGCGGCTTCGTGAAGGAGCGGCCCGCGGGGCTATGTACGCGTTGCCCCACCCACACCTGCTTCCATCTGGAGAGGCCTGAGAACCTCGCGACCAGCACAACAACACTACTCTCCTTCCCATACTTCGATTTTATTCTGCAACTACGCGCCCGGACGCGCATGCACACGCTGGCAACGTTACCTGTTCGTGGTTCTCACCGGCTTGTATCGTAATCGTATGCGCTTTACTGCAGCTGCACCAGAGCTTCCTACCATGGCAGCACTGTCTGAGCAACAGATTAACTACACCTCGAACGAGTCAGAACCGAACATCGTGGACATTACAGAGCTATGTGACTACTGTGTCAAGCTTACAGAAGAGATATTGGAAAACGATGTAGGAGAGAGTAAAACGACAGAACAATCCCTTACTTTCGTCCCGGACGTCACTCCAGGGATGTGCCAGTTCTGCAAGATCCTTTCAACGGACCCTCGTATCCCGTACTTATCAGTAATGAAACACTTCATAAGTGACTATAACTTGGGGTTGGGCTGGGGGGGCCCGCGATACAGCCGAATATGTGCAACAGGCATAGGTCGACATGAATTTGCTGTATGGGCGAATCGCGGTAAGAAGCTTGGGATCTAAGTCTTCCAGAAGATCCTAACGATGAAATCTAGGCAGCCCTGCTTGTGCAAGCTTGAATAATCGCGCACCAATTGTTGGGCCACACATGGACCAAGTATGTGAATTGACCAAGCACTGGCTGAGCATGTGTAGCGATCACAACGACTGCATCCTTGATAAGGAGGTGCAAATGCCAACTCGTGTACTAGCGATTTGCGAAGATGGCACGCGACCTTCAGTCCGACTCGTTGAAACCAGAGGCCGAGGGGGACGATATATAGCTCTAAGTCATTGTTGGGGCTCGACGGGAAATCGACCACTCCGTACAACGGCCAGAAACCTCGAATCGCATCAGGATGGTATCTCCTTTGAGAATCTGCCTAAGACGTTTCAAGATTGTGTGGAATTCTCTCAATGCATGGGCATCAAATACGTATGGATCGACTCTCTCTGCATCATACAGGACGACCACCAAGATTGGCTTTCCGAGGCAGCGAAGATGAGGGATGTGTACAAAAACGCTGCTCTGGTCGTGGGCGCTTCAGGAGCCAAAGACTCTACTGAAGGTCTCTTCATCACCAATCGTCCGAGAGCGAGGATATTCCGACTACCTTATCGCGTCAACGGGAAGATACAAGGAAAATTCAACATGACGCAATTGTACGGACAATGGGATCTGTTCACGGGTCCTCTTGAAAAACGGGCGTGGACGCTGCAAGAACGCTATCTTGCGCAACGTTTCCTCGCGTTCATGCCGTATGGTATTACGTGGGTGTGCGATGGCACTGCAGTAGATGAGGTAGGGCGTGACATCGATACATTTGCCGATAAGCGGTGGTACACGCTATTGCAAAGATATACGATGAGATCTCTGACAGTCTCATCCGATCGTCCCGAGGCCATCAAAGGAATCGCCGAAGAGTTTGAACGTTCACGGAGAGCTCTGGATCGGTACATACCAGAGTACGGTGTGTGGGAAGGGAAAAATGTACATCAGCTGCTTTGGTTCTGTGATGGCGAGCAATTTGACGATGGCGAGTTACCTCACATTCCTACATGGAGCTGGATCGCCACGAAAGATGTCAAAAAATGGCCAGATGATGTCCATTGTCCAGAATACGAAGGCATCCAGAAAGCAGAGGAAATGCCACGACGATTAGTGATTAGCTCTACAGGCTACCTCCACTTAGCCGGACACTTGAGCGCCAAACGGCGGGCCGAAAGCTACGTACGTGAAGCGTCCACTTTACCCGACCTTAACCTTCAATGGCTTCGAGAGTTTCACGATCCTTATTATCGGCGCCGTCCCAAACTAAGCCGAACATTCCACTTCATCACCCAAAACATGCATAACGCTAGCCATCAGGCAGTTCTGGGCATTGTCCAATTCGATCACATTTCGAAAACGGCATATACACATGTGTGTTTTCTGGCAAAGCAAAAGCGTAGGAGCGCGAAGGATTGGAGGTCCATCCAGATCGCTAAAGCGGCTGAGGCGGAGGGATTGGGCGAGGAGTGGCAAGAAGTTCCAAACGAAGAGGGGTGCGAAGGCGGTGATGTCTATGAGCAGAAACTCTACCACTGGGACTCGTCGTTGTCAGAAGAGGAGGACGATAGTACCGATGACGACTCTAAGATTATCTGGGTCTACAAGCGGTTGAAGTGTGCCGCCGTATTAGATGCTCCATTCGTGGAAGAGCAGACTATCGTAAGAAGTGACCGTCTTGACTTGTGCGCCGAGACTAATGTCTACTAGGGAGATGTGATCTACCACATTGAGCAGAAGCCAGACTTTGTGTACTGGGTACTCCTTCTTGAGCAGGTTGGCGAAAGCAGATTCAGACGCGTAGGCATGGGAACTCTCTTGCCCGCCGCATACGAAGCCTTCCAAGTCCAAGTTCAAGAGTTCTCCATCATCTAGACTCAGCAGCTTACAATAGCGTTGAGACATGAGTATTGAGACATTGAAGAACAATGTAGACCTCTCACTCGTATATTCCCCATCATGGTATCTTCACGTCCCTCACATCTATACTACAACGCCTAACATCCCCTCACATCTTCATCCCCCCAACCCTCCCCTTCTCCGGCTCCCCCACCTCATTCTCATACAGCGGATTAACCTGCACCTCCCTCAACCACAGCCTAAACGACTTATCCAACGTCTTCGCATTCATAACCGCACAATCCTTGACCTCCTGCGCACTCAAATACGACACCCCCTCCGCATCGCCCCCCGCAATCGCAATCGCGCGCTGCAGCAAAATGCAGTTCTTTTGCGTATATATCGCCCGGTACACCGCTTCCTCGATGCTAGCGCCGAACGTCGTGAAGCCGTGCTTGTGCTGTAGTACGACGGGATTTTCGGGGGAGAAGCGGGAGGCGAAAGCGGCGCCGAGGGATGCGTTTTTGATGAGGAGGTCGTGTTCGGAGGGCGCTGACGTTCCACGTAGACTGTCCATTGTGAATACCTTAGCGCCGCCCAGGCCCATGAAGCCCGCCATGTGGAACACGGGTCGCACGGGATGCGGTTCCATCGTGCCGTGTCCTACAGTGAAGGGTATGACGTCCTCGGAATGCGAGTGCACAACGCAATTCACCTTGGGAAACTTCCTTAGTATCTCCCCGTGGATATACCGCTCGCTGTATCCCTGCGGCGCATCCGCATCAACGGGCGAGGAGTCCTTCACCCAGTACGATATAAAGTCGCTCATATTCTTGACGAGGGCTGGGGCGCCGGGGTCGTAGCCAGCGATGATGTATTGTTCCTTGTTGAGCGGGTGTCTTACGGAGATATGGCCGAATGCATCGACGAGGCCGTGGTGGTGCAGGATGTGGTTTGCGCGGATGAGCAGGCGCAGTTGCTGCTGCAGCTGGGGTGGGATGGACATCTTGTGTGCTCGCGACTTGCGCTCTTTGGGCTGTGGCTGGGTTGGCGTAGGCGGGCCTGTCTTAAGCGACTCTGCGTTGAGGGACTCGGCTTTTAGCGATTCGGTGCGCGCTTCTTCGATGATGGATAGTTCGCGTTGTTTGGAGGGTCGGAGGTATTCTTCGGGTTGGGCTGCGTGCAGGGGATGCGATGCTAAGGCGCGTGGATGCGTTGCGTCGGCGGCGTCCCTTTGGGTCTGTTGAGCGGCGCAGTAGTTGCAGAGTACCATTTGGCTGTTCAGCACTTGGAGGAGTGCATTCTGCTGGGTATAAAGGCTGGTTGCCTCGTCTTATGGAGTGAGCGAGCGATGTTTCAAGGTGGCGATGGAAATAGTAGCGTTTGAAACCGCGGATGCCTTGGAGTCGCTAGCACTTTCTCTAACTCTTCACCTGCGTCGCGAACTCGGTGGTGTCGCCTGGGTGCGAGGTGAGACGATGCGAAAGGCGAATGACGCGTTGCGCCTGTCGTGCGCGATATTGCTGGTGCATCGCGACATGGCGGTGGATGGGTCGCGGAGGTGTTGCGGGGATGCAGCCGGGTCATTGGGCGCTCGTGAGGGGATCCGATCTTCTAGCGCCATTAGCCTTCCCGCCCGCGACAGCCCTGTCCCTCACTCGCCCCACATCGCGCGGCCCCCATTAACCTTCAAGTCCGCATCTTGAAACGGAACACCGCAGACTCTCAGACTCGCGACGTCCTCCCCGTCTCACCAACCCTTCTGTTCGGAGCGTTCTCTTGATCACCACGTACCCTCGTTCAAGATGGCCGCCCAATACGTGCTGGCTGGCCTAGCAGCAGCGGGACTGGCCTTCTGGTATGACTTCAAGAGCTGGCAAAGCTTTGGTTCGCGACCCTCTCAGCCTGTGTGAATGCGATTGCTGAGTCGCCGCAGGAACGGGTGGCACGCCTCCAACCTTGGAAGGCTACATCAAGATCCGTCGATGGGGACTCTACTTGCTCTACACGCGCCAGAACTTGCTCGATGCATCTCCAATTCCCGATACGGGCGCGTCTTACATCAATCCTCAGAAGGTGCCGGACCGCGTTGGCAGTAGACCAGGACTTACACGTTGGACACTACCACAACGCCAGTTCCCCGAGGAGATAACACCGGGCGCTTCCACGACTCTTCACGATCTCATGCGCGAGTTTGCGGATACAAAGGCGTACTCGGAGTATATCGATACGCGGCCAAGCAAGACGGAAGGCGGAACTGGACCTGCCATCTACGTCAAACCAGACGTCAAGACCATCAACCCCGTCGCGCACAAGATATTCTACGAGGTCGCGCACGTGCATCCGGCAGACAACTCGCTGCATGTGTATGTAAGCCCGCAAGACGCGAGACTGGTGATGAAGAGGGGCTGGGGACAGCGCTTTCCAGTGACTTGGTTGGCGCCGCCGAGCTGGATCATGGTGTATGCGCCGAGGAACGAGGAGGAAGTGGAGACTGTCAGGGAGATTGTCAGGGCTGCAGTTTGCCATGCTGTCGGGATGAATGTCGAACATGGAGTTTGAGCAAGCGGAGGCGCGACACGCGGAGGTACTGTCCATGGTCAGTATAGTCGAGCGCAATTGTCCATGACTATTCTCGGAGACGTCCAAGCCCCATGCGTAGACTGTGTTTCGTTCGATGTCTGGGCACGGCACTGGAGAGGAGAACCGACGCCGGACGCTAGTAACAACGGCGCCCGCCGCATCCGCCGCATCTGCATCGCATCCCCCACTCTCTTGCGCTAGCTTACACATGTCGCCCGGCTTGAACGACCCTGCAGCATGGCATCGATCCGGAATGCTATGTTAAGACCGCTCATGCCGCGAGCCAGCGTCTCTCGAAACTGACATCGTGTCTTGCCTCCACCGTCGCAACCTCACCTTTCTCATACCCCACACCGCATCCATCCAACATGGGTAGCATCGACACCAGCCTGAAAGTCATCGTCATTGGCGCCGGTGTGTAACCAATCCCCCAGCATAGCAGACCCCTACTAACGCACCAAGGCCCCGCCGGCTGCGCGCTCGCTCACGGCCTCAAAAAAGCAGGCATCTCCTTCAACATCTACGACAAAGGCGCCGACGTGTACCGCCATCGTCAATGGGCCTTCACATTAGGCTGGGCACGACCCTACCTCTTCGACCTCATCCCAGAAGAGCTCAGCGCGCAGATCAACTCATGTCAAGTCGACCCGTACGTCGATTGTGCCGCGCTCGGCGAAGATAGGATTGTTATTTATAATGGCCAAACGCGCGAAGAGGCTTTCGCATTTCCGATACCGAAGGCGCGCGAGATTAATATTAGAAGACTGCGCATGTTGTTAGCAGAGCAATTGGATGTGCAATACAGCAAGAGCTTCTCGCACTACGAGACAACCCAGGACGGCGGCGTAACCGTCCACTTCGAAGACGGCACAACCGACACCGGCACCATCCTCATCGGCCTCGACGGCGCCATGTCAAAAGTGCGCCGCTGTCTCATACCCAAAGAAGGCAACATGGACACCCTCCCCTTCGCCCTAATGAACTTCAACGCGTCCTACACCGCCGAGCAAGCCCTCTTCATCAAAGAACACCTCCATCCACTCGTCGACATCGCGATTCATCCTGGAGGTCACTACATCCGCGCAAACGTGCTGGATATGCCCGATGAGAAAGACGCGAGTACCTGGACGTTTCAGATCCTGTCTACGTGGCCGCTGAAATATGTTGAGGATCATGATAACGAAGACGGGAGGTTGGAAAGGCTTAAAGCGCATGTGAAAAGGGATGGATGGGCGGAGCCGTATAAGAGTGCTATTGAGTGGATACCAGAGGATACCCCGGTGTTACGCGATCAGCTCAAGATATGGAAGACCGTCCCCTGGGATAATCACAACGGGAGGGTTACGCTATGTGGCGACGCAGCCCACGCTATGACGTTCCACCGCGGTCAAGGTGCTAACAATGCTTTTTACTCTGCGCATTGTCTTGTTGAAGCATTGAAGAGCGTGCAGAGTGGGACGGCGAGTTTGAAAGATGCGGTCACGGCGTATGACGAGAGTATTTGGAAGAGAGGCGCGAATGAGGTTCAGATATCGAAGGCACAAACGTTCTTCACGCATGATGGGTTGGATAACTTTATTAATAGTCCCGTTATGCAGTTGGGAACGAAGCCGAGTCATGCTGCTAAGACGGAAGGGTATCAGTAGCTACACAGAGCCATATCAACACATTTAAAGACGGGATCACCGATTTCGTGAGAGAAGGATTATCAATTTGACGATATCAGCCGGTCATCGCTTTCTGTCTCTAATTTTCTCATAGCATTTCCTGCCGCTGCGTTGTCGAACGTGAAGACTCGTTGCTCATACAAAGAATGGCCTTTCGAACACAGGAGAGAGCATGCTAATCAGAGAATGAGAGCTTCTCATCTTCCGATACATCCACCACCGGAACTTCGTCAACACTGTCGTGCGCAGACCCTTCAGATGGTTCTGGGCTCGGCAGGATTTCGATTTCTTCCGAGTCCGTGCCGTCATCCTGAGCATCTTGAACATGTTAGCATGGCGTTCTCATGGCAAGGCCGATCTAATCATCAAGTCATACCTTCACCCTGTGGAAGCGGCGAGATGTCGCGAACGTCCTGGAGCGCTCGCAACCCGTCTTCAAGAATCTTGAGCTTCTCGCTGCAACGCATGCGCTCTTTCGAAGACTCCTCACTCTCGGATGCCAGAGCTGTCACAGTCGCGTCGTCGATATCGATGACGTCGGCAGCGGCGTCCGGGTACTGCAGGATGTCGCATGTATTAGGTCATCGTGATGTTTGTGGGCGGCCTTGAGAAAACGTCTCTCACGTATGAGGTGGTGAAGTCAAGGTTACGCCCATGGCGCGGGGGTTCCTGTTGGACGCGTCAAAGCGGCCGCTAGCTAGATCCAGCCTTACCCGAACAGGCCTGCCCAACCCGGCGAACATCGTCCGGATCGCGTAACCCCCGTTTCCGATTGACCACCATCAGCCCGCCCGCTGTCACTCTGCGACGTCGACTTCCTCTTCCGCGACCTTCCACCCACCGCGCGAATCAGATCTTTACGACATGGCTTCATTGATGTGCTAACGGCGTCTCGCCTCGCGCAGCCACCCGCGGCTCACGACGACTCATTCTTCGATCGCAACCTTGGAAAGCTCTGGAATGGAACCCCATGCGTGCCTGCGACCTCTGCTTTGGAGCCCAACGCCGCGCAACGCTTCCTAAGGATCACAAGGGACAATCCGACACGCTTGGACTGACAGCAGTAGCGTGGAAGCGGCGTGCATCACAGATAGTGGAACAAGCCGCAAGGGTCAGAGAGAGCACTACTCCCCTTCGCACGATAGACAATTGTGTTGCATACTGGCGAATATCCCGCAAGCCTCGACGCGACGTCAAGGAACAAGTCAATGGCAACCATGACAAGACGGTGCGATGGATCCGAGATGTTTGATGTTGAAGTTCTCAACAGATGCGGCTCAAGCGGCAGCTCCTGGTGAGGCCGCGCAGATCTAGATCAGCCACATGGAACCAACCAAGAACACTTGGAACCACCCTCCCGGAAATTGGCCCAGTTTCCAGCCTTCCGTGGGTTTTCACCGAGCTTCGCGATTACCAAGCGATCGAGTAGCATCACGTCAAAGGATCGTAATTCGAGTCAGGGTCCAGCCGTTGTGGAGACGGATTGTGGATCATCCATGGAATGCTCGCGTGTCGCCCGCCTTACGGAAAATCCTTCACCGACACAGGCCATTCTCTTGTCCCTGCATGCATGGCGCTCGTGTCGAGGTCTTGACCCAAGTCATGTCAACCCCTATGGAAAAGGACGCGCCGAAGGGTTCACAGTTTACATAGCCGTCTCCCCGCATGGTGAGTTTAGAGTTGGACCGATATCTAGACCACATTTCCACCGACAACAATGCCGCGAGAAGATCGATCCGGAGAGTTCACCGGCGTCTTGGGGTTCTTCATCTGTATTTGCACCCTGCTAGTACTGCTTCGATGCTACTGCAAGCTGGTGCTCGTGAAGAACATCGCGGCCGATGACTACTTCTCTGTTCTTACCCTGGCGGCCTTCTTGGTCTATTGTAGCTCCGCGCTGCTAGGTGTCCAGAATGGGACCGGGAAGCGACGATATCTCATCCCGGATGAGAAGTATCCCATCGGTATGAAGGTTTGTCATACCACGTCTACAGTATATTCCATGAGGCTAACGACTCGAACTAGTGGTGGTGGACTTGCGAGCCCACATACGTTGTTACGAATATCTTCCTCAAGATGAGCATCGGCATCTTCCTTCTGCGCATCGCCCAGGATAGAACCCATCGCATGATTCTTTGGATCGCCCTCATCGCCATCCAAGTATACAGCGTGTACTTCTTCTTTGTCTTCACCTTCCAATGCTGGCCTGTCTCGTTCTTCTGGGAACAGTTCCGCGGTGGCAAAGGACATTGCATCCCCTCTAGGTTCGTCGTGAACTCGTTCTACGGCTACTCTGCACTGTCCTGTGTCACGGACTGGACATTCAGTATTGTTCCAATCTTCATCGTGCACAACTTGCAGATGGACAAGAGGAAGAAGATGACGGTGGTTGTTGTACTCGCCTGCTGCGCTATGTAAGCTCATTCCGCCTCTAGAGTCTTCCTTGCATCGTATGCTAACTCAACACCAGTGGCTCCACCGCAACAGTCGTCCGCATCCCATTCATAAATGGCCTCAACGATATACCCGACTTCCTATACACTACCACCGACGTCGCGATATGGTCTACCGTCGAAACCGGAATCGGCCTTGCGACCTCCGCCGCCGCCACGCTCCGTCCCTTGCTCCGCCAGGTGTTTGGTGAAATTTCGACGCATGATAGCGCCTCTCGCAAGCACTCGCGCAGATGGAACTCGGGACACCCGTCACGTTCAGGGTACCTGGAACAAGCAAGCCAGCAAGGCGGGAATGACATCCAGCTCAGTAATCATGATTCAAAACATCATACTGTCCATGTCACCAGCGGGAACGCGAGTCCGAGTGGGAGTACGCTCGAGTTGAACATGGAGTGGGAGCAAGATAAATTTAGTGGAACGGCTGATGTAACTGCAGCGGGGCACAATGGAATCATGAGGACGGTGAAGATTACGCAGATGTAGAATGAGGTTAACATCTAATGAAAGCTATCGCGAACTACCGTCATCGACATACCAACCCACCAATGTACTCACCCGATTTCCCTCGCGCAAAGACTTCAGATTCCAGTGCGAAGCCCAGAACAAGGCCATTGAACGAGCGAGGGATCGCTTGGGCCTTGACACTTTTCCTTGCCTTATCGTCGTGAGCAGCCCGTACCAGGACCAGACCGCAGTCTGGATCAAAGGCGCACTGTATACGTTCTTTTGTGGAAATTGAGCTCCTTGCGAACCACTTTTTGCATCGTCAAGCTCACCCCTGTGGCGCAGAGGGCGGGCGCTAGTCGCGGCAGCCTAGCCCAAACGGTGCTGATCTTCGGCGGCTCCGCGTGAACATCGTACGGCTCCTACAATCTAGATCTCTACACCCTCTCGACCAACATCACAACAACCTCGAAAGAAAGCATGGGTTTCCTATTTCGGCTTTCAGCTCACCGCATTGAGTTCGCTCTCGCGACAGGGCTTCATCGACCCGCTTGTGGCTTCGCGTGGTGTAGCTCGACTCTTTCGTCGAAGCGGCGACCTTCACGACAGCGAGGCGATCACGAGCGCCATAAATATCATCGCCATAGCCTTCGATATGAAGTATCCCGCACCGTCTCTCGTTATCTCTTCCGTCCGATATTGTCCAGCAGCCCTTCCTTTCGTCGACTCGTCACTCGTTCAGTCTCGCATCAACACTGTTTCTCCAATAATCATTAATACGTAATTCAGCATCATGCGATCAATCTTCCTTGCGCTCCTTGCTGCTCTCCCCATCATCGATGCTGCTGTGAGCAGTCCGCGCATTTCTAAGACCGGGCGCTGCGGAAGTAGCTTTGACCTTACATGCAGCGGTTCCTCTTTTGGCAACTGCTGCTCGAAATACAACTACTGTGGCAAGACTTCCGCTCATTGTGACTCCGGATGTCAGTCGGGCTTTGGGAATTGTAAGACCTCGCTTGTTCCGATCTCGGCATCTACAAAGGTGTCAAAGGATGGGACTTGCGGCGAAAAGAGTGGCTTCACGTGCTTGAAGTCTGCATTCGGCAACTGTTGCTCGCAGTAAGTCAACTTTGGAAGACACAGTCACGCGGCGAGCTCACTAATAACAATGCACTTCCAGATACGGATACTGCGGATCGTCTAACGCATACTGCGGCTCAGGCTGCAACCCTGCTTTCGGTTCCTGCTCAGGCCCAGCCGCCGCCACTCCTGCTACCACGACGCGTTCATCTTCGACACCAACTCACGCTGCTTCCACCGCTTCACCCCCCGCCACGAAGCCCGCTACTCATAAGGTGTCTACCAATGCGCGATGCGGAAATGTCTACCAAGCGTCACCCCTCGGGATGACCTGTGCTGGATCCAAGTGGGGTAACTGCTGCAGTAAATACTCATACTGGTATGTTCAGCGATTACATGGTCCGTCGCACGCTACTGTATACTAATACGCGACAGTGGGAGCACCGATGCATACTGCGGTAGCGGCTGCCAGCCAGGCTTCGGCAATTGCAAGCCTGCATCCTCGTCCGTGCCGTCCGCCTCGTCCTCCCCAGCGAAGGTTCCAATTGCACCGGCCAGTGCGCCTCCAGCCATGAGCACACACGCGGGTTCATCTTCTATCTCGTCGTCACTCACCGCGTCGTCTTCCACTACCTCGTCCCAGGCCACGAGCGCATCGCTCGCCGACCCTGTCCCATCTTCTTCATCTACGATTCCGTCGGTAGAAAGCCTGTACACAAGTGTCTTCGCAACAAGCGCAAGCGCATCGGCCATCGTAGTGGAAAGCTTGTCTTCACTGGACGTCGCTTCAGAGTCAACAGCGGCCAAGGATACCGTTTCTGCGCCTGGCGGTCTCTCAACCTCGCTCGCATCCTCAGAGGTCGCGGTCTCAACGAACACTATCACCAGCTCTACCCTTACAGAGTCGCCTACCATCAATAGGGAGCCTTTGAGCACAGCTACAGCCCCGCTCGCTACATCGGAGGTCGCTTCCTCCCAAGTCGAGATTGTCTCTTCCGTCGCATCGACCATCGTGCTCGAGACGTCTGTCGAGCCGACCACCACGACCACGACCACGCACACGCCGACATCTGCTGAATCTCAGGTTGTATCGATTGAGACCGAGACCGAGACCATCTCTTCCACCGATGCGCCCGTGATAAGCGCGTTGCCATCGTCGGAGCTTGTCGCATCCTCCGAAACCACCCACACGCCAGTCCAAGAGACCACATCGAGCTCAGTGGTCGAGACGCCGTCGCCACTCCCGGAGACACCCGCTTCTTCGTCCCCAGCGACTATGATCGTCGCAACATCCACCACGTCGGCGCCAGCAACCTGCAACACGCTCGTCGCGAGTTACAACCCCTCCTTCGAAAGCGGAGCCATTGCACCTTGGACCAACTCCTGGGGCGCCAATACTGTGTTCGGCAAGACCGAGGTTCTTTCGGCTGATACGGCACCCTTCGCGCCGCTCGACGGATCACATGCGCTCTACACCACGTTGACCAATCGGTACATGGGAGCCCAGCAGTGGAGGTTCACACTACAAGACGTCTACATCCCAGCTAGCAGCAACTACAACTGCACGGTCGGGTTCAAAATAGTTCAGAACGACAATCGCGCGCGATACCCCGTGCAAGCCGCCTTGTTAATCGATAATCAAGTTGTGAACTATGCGCAGAACGGTGTATCTAACGGTGTATTTGTGGGCGTGCCGACAGGTCCAGAGACGGCTCTTTGGAAGACGGTAGGCGGTTCCGGAGTCGCAAATGCGCAAGACCAGCATACCGTTACAGTAATCGTTCTCTTGAACAATGCCGTTAACCTCGCTGCGGGAACAGCTTTCGCGATCGATAGCCTGCAATGCTTCCCAACCGGGCAATGCGCGATGTAGATATATATAGACACGTAGCAGAATACCTAGTAAAATGCATTGCAAGACGTCTCTTCTTAGTTTATATAAGATCTTTCTTATTCTAAAATAGATTAATTATTACACTAACTTTATTAGAATAGATAATAATAGACTATTATTATATAATTTATAGTATATACGTAGTAATCTTATAGTATAATATTAATAGTATATAGTATAGTATTAGTAGACGTAGAAGTAATATTAGCTATAGTAAGTATAATATTAAAATCTAATATAGCTTTAAATAAAGCTAAGCTACTCTACTTTCTAGCTAGCGCTAGAAGATATTAACTAGATTTTTTAAGGTATAAGACTATATAAACTCTAGAAGCCTATACTAGCTAGTATATAGAGCTTTTATAATATAATATTACTTCTATTTAATTATTTTACTTCTATCTAGAGTATTATATATATTATATCTTATAGTATATATAATTAATTATCTAAAGTTTTAATATTTCTTACTAAGGCTTAGTACTAGCTATAGTAGTAAGCTAATATAATATATTATATTAACCTAACTTTATTAGATTTATAACTTTTACTATTAAATTCTATAAAATTTAGTTTATATACTTTTATATTCTAGTACTAGTCTTATAGCTTAAGCTAACTCTAGAAGCTTATTTAATACTATAAGCTAACTCTAGAAGTACGTTCTCTACTATAATTATATCTAGAAAGTATACTCTATAGTATAAGCTAACTCTAGAAGAATACTTAATAGTATAAGCTAACTTTAAAAAAATACTTAACACTATAAGCTATATATAAAACTATACTAGTAGCGTAAGCTAATTTTAAAAGTATAGTTAATACTATAAGCTAACTCTAGAAGTATAGTTAATACTATAAGCTAACTCTAGAAGTATAGTTAATACTATAAGCTAACTCTAGAAGTGTACTAATAGTATAAGCTAACTCTAGAAGTATACTTATTAACGTAAGTATTATAACTTCTAGACTTATTTTCTACTACTTTATAGATAGAAACTATACTATTAAATTATTTTTATATTTCTAGAATAAAATTTAACGTTTTATACTTATAAATTTCTAAATATTACTAAGTAAAGTTCTAATATTATATATATATAAATCTCTAGATATTACTAAGTTAACTTAACCTTCTATATCTATAAGAATCTACCTATTTATATATATAAATTAATAGAATTTTAATAGTAAAGTATATCTAAAATTATCTATTCTTTTATATTACTACTATTTACACTAGTAAATTAAGCTAACTTATATTATTTATTAAGTTCTAGACTACTTTAAAGTTCTATTATAAATTTTAACTAGAAGTAAGTAAATCTATAAAAGTCTAATTAATAAAGTTAGACTTTTTAATAAAATCTAGTAAAAGTTATATTAGTAGAGACTCTACTTTTATATAACTTATAAAGATTAGTTTTATAATCTTTACTATTTCTATAGTATTACTATTATAGATTATAACTATATTTATCTAGTTCTATAGACGCATAATTAGTCTCTATTTAATAAATAAATTTAGTACTTTATCTTTTAGTAGTAAAATAAAGATTTCTACTCTAAATCTCTTTTAGAGTATAAACTATTACTTTCTATATTCTAACTATCTATTCTATATATAAAGTATAACGCTACTAATCTTAGTAAATAGCTACTTTTATACTACTATTACTATACTCTACTTTTATATACTTTTTAGATTAATTCTACTATATAAAAAATATTCTAAACGTTTATATTTAGTATAGAGTATTAATATATTCTAGTAATACTATATATTACTAAGTATATTTATAGTTTCTTTCTTTTATATAGTTATAACTAATCTCTAGATTTCTTTAACTTTACTTATAGTTAGTATATTAGTTAATATTCTACTTATATTAGCTTAGAATAACACTTACTATAGTTAGAAATCTAAATAGAGTTTATTTAGGTTATATAGTCTATATAGAGAACTCTATAACTAACTCTATTTAAGATAAATCTAAATAGAAGTTTTTTAGTAGAGAGTTCTAGGTCTAGTAGACTAGTAAGTATCTACTACTATATTTAAGCCTATTTTTTATAGTTATAGATCTTATAGACCTACTTATATAGTAAGATATCTATAACTAGCTTATACTTATAGATCTATAAGACTTATTTATATAGTAGAAAACCTATTTCTACTTATAATTAATAGTTTAGTAAACCTATCTTTCTCTTCTAGTACGTATACTTATAATAGCTACTATTATAGTAGATTATATAGTTATTAATTATAGATTATTTTACTTAGAAGAGATACTCTAACTATCTAGTATCTCTACCTAGTATTACTAAGTACTATTAAGAAGTATAAGTTTAAATCTCTACACTAACACTTTCTTATACTACTTAGTAAAGCTACTAATTAGCTATACACTATCTATAGAACCTTTTCTACTCTAAGCTTTATATACTAACTTTTTTATAGTTATTATATCTTATAGCTATATTAGAGTCTAGTAGTATAATAACGCTAGTAGCTACTATATCTATCTTAAGCTATATAATAATAGCTATCTTATTATCTCTATAATTACTATATATACTTTTATTATTTATTTTCTCTCTTCTCTATATATATATACTTTACTAACTATATATATTTTAGCTTATTACTATATTTAGTAAGCTATCTATTATCTCTAAAGCTAATAACACTCTATAAAGTAGTAATATTATAACTAATACCTATAATAAGTGTAAGTACGTAGTAAACCTTAATAATATTAGTCTATTCTAAGGTGCGCTAGATATATAGTTTAACTCTAAGATTCTATATAAAATTATTACGTAGATTCTACTATATCTATTATTTCTTATCTAAGTATACTAATAAATTTAAAGGTATAAAGCTAGATTTTAAAAAAACTATTATAGAGAGAGTAGAGCTTCTCTAGAATACTATAGAGATAAGTTCTATATAGATTATTCTAAGTTTCTAATATACTATTAGTTTACTAACTCTAGTTACTAGTCTAAGTAGACTATACTTTTTAGTAACTAGACTAAGTAGGCTATATCTAGGTACTTATTTAGTAAGACTATAGAGGCTATATCTTACTTAATACTAAAGAATAACCTAGTATACCTTTAGAGAGAGAGGTAGATTAGCGTATATTAAAAGAGGTTATAGTATCTAGTATTTATAAAATTAAGGTAGAAGAATAGAGTTCTTTTTTTTTTAAATATTTTACCTTTTATAAAGTCTTTACTATAATAGAATCTAAAATAGAAAGAGCTATAAGAATTTAATAATTAAATAGTATAGCTAACTATAATACTACTTTTTCTAGAAAGACCTTAACTCTAGTCTTATTTTTCTAGTCTAACTTTTAGAATTATTATATATAATTTATACTTTTAACTAGATCTAACTAGTAGATAGAATAATATCTAAAGCTATTTATTCTAGTAATATTTATTAGAAGCGCCTTACGCTATTAGTATTAGATACGTAGACTTTAAGTTAAAGTCTACTGTAAGTAGTCTATACTACTCTAGTTTTTAGTACTTACTTAGGTTAAAGTCTGTAAGATTCTCTAGATAATATCTAGGTTAAAGTTCTAAACTTTAATTATCTTATAGGTATTCTATAACTACTAATTCTTTTAACTTTATACAAAGTAGATACACTTCTATATAAGTAATAATATACTTATATATTCTATATAATTCTAACTATAGAGTAAGATACCTACTAGCCTGTAGTTAGAGTGCACGTAGGTACTAAGAACTATTTACTTCTTATCTAGATACAAAACCTTTGCTATCTAACTCTAATATTAAACTTTACTATCTAGGCTAGATATAAAACCTTTTAACCTCTATATAATACATACCTTTAGCATCTATACCTAACGTAAACCTATTATATTTATTTAAGTAACAAAACCTTTATCTTAAATATTACTACATCTAAGCACAAATCTATTATAAAATTTATTACCTTAGTCTTTCTATTCTACGCGCGTAATAAGTAGGCTAGAGTTTATAATAAAACGTAATGCATTATATATATATAATAGTAGCATATTACGTAGAGAGTATATTAGAATAGATAGATTTAGTCTATATTAGGTTGTTTTGTATACAAAGATTCTTGCAGAAAGTAGAAGATATACTAGAATATAACTACTGCACGTATAGAAGAAAGTCTGCATTACGTAAGCGTAATATATATTCTAGAATAGAGTTGTTATTTCTCTATTCTAGCTACTATATACTAAAGCTTATTAATTATCTTTTACCTTACTATTAACAGCAAGTATGCTATTAGCATCTAAATTAGCGTAGTTAACTTTAGCAGTATTATTAGTGTTAATAATAGTTTTATAGCTTTTAGCAACCTTATAGAGTATACTCTTACTTACCTTAATATAACTATAGAGTTAAGCTACTTCTACTTTAGCTACGTTAACCTTATCTAAGGCTCTAGCTATCTTTAGTCTTTCTATTATAATATTACTCTAAAGCGCTGCTACTATCTTCTCTAAGTAAGCTATTTCTACTTAAGTATAATACAACTCTTTTTAATCTATATATAGCTTTTCTACTAGGCCTTTTACGCGCTTAAACTCTACTTTAATTTCTATAGAAATATACTTAAAGCTTAATATTCTATAGTAGATACGCACTAACTTCTTACTATTCTAAACTAGAGTAGAGGTAGTAACACGTTTTAATAACTACGTAGAAAGAGATAATTAGCGTAGAGTATAGACGTAGATAACGTTCTTAATAGATACGTCTTTTAATAGCGTAGTAGTATACGTAGTATATTTATGCTTAGCTAAAATAAAACTATCTAGCAGCTTTCTCTTACTTTAGAGAGGCTCTACTATACCTATAGCTCTAGTTCTAGACACTATATCTATTTAGTTATAGTAGACTAGAATATTAGTAAATGTTGCTAGCGTAGAGCTTTATTACTTATAAGATAATTA